GTCCTCGTAGGTAGGCAAATTGCTCTCCAACTGTGCACTTGTGAAATCAGACATGTTATAGCCCTCCAAAATGCATGATGGGACAGATATAAAATACACATTCCTGTCCCAAAAGAGGAAATAGGAAAGAAGAAAGGGATGGCAGGTACTAAGCAAGTTCAAATTCTTAAGGCTTGTCTTTGGCCAGATGTTCAACCCCTCTCCCCGAGCCCACTCCTCATGCTCACCCAGACCCCGGGCAGGAAGGGTTTAAACAACTCATTTGGCACTCCTGACCTCCTTTTCACACCGATGTCAAACTTTCTCCATGCCCCACCACACCCCAATGAAGCTCTCCTTGATTCACAGTCCTCAGGGTGCAAATTTCCAGGCACTCCCCCAACTTGTGGGACGAGGACCCCTCTCCCACACAGCCCGAGGCCTCACTGGGTCCCAGCTTCCTATAAGCCCAACTGCCACCTGGTTCAGCAGAGGCTGACCAATCAGAGCTGGGAGAGAGGGAAGAGGCCTCACAGTCAAAAAGGTTGAGAATGGAAGGGTCTGGAACCTGGACATTTAATGACCAACCCAAGGCTCCTAAAAAGCGTCCCACTCTCGGTCTGGTCACACGTGTTCCATCTCTGGCTTTTGAAGAGCTCACAACAGACAGCAAGCAGCACACAAGGGACATGGATGCGTGGCCAGTACTTCTCCATTTACATCAGCAAATGTAAATGAAAAAGGATTTGTTACAGGTTTTCTAAAAATAGGTTTGAGTTGTCGGGGAGGGCAGCATCACTTCCAATATTAAATCTGTCACTGGATAACAGGGTTCTTTGACATAACTGTTAGGTAAGATAGGTAGCAAACCAAGGCAGGGAGGAGGAGAGAGACCTGTCTCACCTGTTGACTCCGCAGCCCTGAGCCTGGCCTGGTCCAATAAGATGGGCGGGCGTTCCGAGCATCACAGGCGAAGATAGCACCAGGGGACGGGAGCCCTTGAGGCTCAGGGCTGGGAAAGGGAAACTCTGTAGCAATTTCACTAACACAAAGGGCCTTTACTAGCTGAGAAAGAAAGCCCTGGTAACTACATTATTCCCAGGGTTTAAAAGGGAGGAGAAGGAGGGGAACCTAAAAGCTGACTAAAGTATATAACCCCTGAATCCCAATGGTCAGAGCTCTCAGGCTAGCTGGGTGCCCACTTGCAGCCTCTGCTCAAGTGTATAGAACAAAATTACTAACAAACTTCCTAACGACTTTATTACCTCTATATATAGGGCATTCAGACCAGCTAGGTGCCTGCATGCAACTTTGTGCTCATATGTATTTTATAAACAAACTTGCTATCTCATTTCCACTATCCGTGTTTGTCTTTCCTTTGAATGTGTCTCTTGCAAGCGAGACAAGAACCAAGGAACATGCTGTGAGGGGTTGGAGGGTGCCCCCTGACTCAGCTCTCTCCCCGATAACATAACTAACTCATAAAACCTTCCTTATAACAAGTATACAAATCCCTGAGTCATTAGATGGGAGTTTCTCTCATTCACCAGAGCAATCCATTTAAAAGTGAAGAAATTCGGTCTGGAATAAGATCTGAGAGAAATACTTAGCAGAGACAACATCCTACCTTTGTACCCTGTGTTCACTCCGCGGTGAGGGGTTTTCAGGCCGAGCTCCCAGAGCCCTGGGGCTTCTAAGGGAGGGAAAGCAGGAGGACTTCAGCCCTCGCCCCCCCCACCCCCCGCCCACTGAACTAGCAGTAACCTTTCTGTTTAGTTTGTTCACACCTCACTAGATTTCATTCAAATGAAAGTTTCCCTGGTCGAAACAAGTTTGAAAACACTCTCGAAAGTCTTTCAAGACCAGTTTTCAGTGTCCCAGACAGTAATTAATTTCATTCAATTTAGTTCCCTTGATCCAAAGTACTTTTATATCTTCTAACTCTAATACTATAATCTGATTTAAGAGTTCTAAAACTAGTCTTCTACATTAAATGTTTGTATTTTCTGTTGATGCTGGAGGATTCCTTCCTATAAATACTGTGAGACACCATGACCCGTGTGTTTTGTTGGCAGCATCCCTACTCCTGCAAATGGGAAGCATGTGCGCGTTTGTTCACTGGTTTCCCTCTTTTAAGGGGCGGAGTGGGATGGTGAAGAGGTTGCAGGCCCTTAGCGACCCCTGTATCAGTCTTCCCCTAAGTGCGAGCAGCCATGAGAAAGGACTTCATCGCCAACCTTTCCTTCCCCGGCCCTTCCGCTCCATTCCCAACTCTCACAGAATCAGCTCCTACTCACCTCTTGGGCCTAGTTGTGCCTTCCTCAGGCCTTCCCTGGCCCCTTTCCCCAAAACAGAGCTCACCTCCCTATTCTTACAATGGTAAATATTTAACCTCATGTTAATTTTCTCTCTTATTAACCATTAACTCCTTGGAGGAAGAAAATTTGTAGATCACGTTTCACACTGTGCCTATCATTTAGTGTGCTCCTGGGGCAAGACGGATGCTCAGCATCTACTGGGTGAATGAATGAATGAATGAATGAGTAATGCCTTCTTCATTTAACGTATTTTAGATAATCACTCAAGTATTTGTTAACCCCTTGCAAGGAACAAGTTTTCATCTGTCGGGGGTACAACTAGCTATTCTAACCTCTAGGAACACATTACCTAATTCGGAAAATGAGATACAGACGCTGAAAACGTAACCAACTATTGGTAGCAGAGAAGAGAGTGGTTTCCCCTGTTGCTGGTTTATTAAATGAAAAGTAAAGAAGTGATTGTTTGGCTCTGCGGGTGTTTTTGGAATTGAGAAAAAGGACAGAAGGGAGGTTTGATGCTGCTTTTTGATGGCAGATAAAGAGGGAAGGGAGGGAGAGAGGAGGAGAGGGAGGGCAACCACAGCAAGACGGAACAGGTTGTTATCTTTGCAGACACGAGAGAGCTCCTTCAGTCATTCAACAAATACCTAGTGGGCATTCACTCTGTGGTAGGCACCATTCTAGGCCCAGGGATACAGTCACACCCGCCCTCGTGGAGCTTTCCATTCCAGTGGAAATAAGTTGAACCAGAATCCATGCAAGTCAGTACAGAGAAAATGAAACAAGGTGGTGGAAGTGACCGTGACAGAGATGCGACTCCAGACTGGGCGATCAAGGAAGTGCTCAAATAACAAGGAGGTGCCAGCCCTGCCAAAGTCTGAGAAAGAAGAAGTCAAAGCAGAATATATAACATGCATTAAGGCCTTGGGACAGGAAGAAATCCAGGGCATTCCAGGAGCAGGGAAAGAGCCAAAGTGGCAGAGAAACAAGGAGAAAGTGGTTGACAATGTGCCCAGAGAAGGGGGTGGGGCCAATCCCGAGGGCCCTCCATGGAAAGCTTATGGGGTTTTGCTAAGTGTGATGGGAGGCCAGTGGAAGGTTTCAAGTAGAGAAATGCCAGGTTTAGGCAGAAGAATGATGAGAAGAGTCGTTTGGCTGGAGCAGGCGATTGGTTTTGAAGAGAAAAAGAGTCTGAGTCAGAAACAGGGACAGATTTTGGGGGACTTTGCACACTGGGCCAAAGAGTTTGGTCCTCATATTCTAGGCCTCAGGAGCCATTGGAACTATTTTTAGCAGAAGTAGCACCAACAAAAAAAGGTGACCGGAGGCCCTACCTTATTCACAGCATCATCTCCAACTTCTTCTCTCATAACTCTGTTGTGGATTTATTCAGCAACTTTATAGCACATACGAAACACCCACATACACACTGGAACATAGGCACACGTGCCCAAACACTCATCTCCACAGGCGCACGAGGATGGGTGTGCCTGGGACCTGGGCATTACAATTATAAAGAAAAGCTGGAGCTTCCAACTGCATTTGATTAGGAATGTTTCTGGACTAGCTGTGAAGTGGAAAAGATTCTGAAGCGCCATCTGGACGGAGCGGGAAAGGAGATCTTCCTTTGTTAGCCAGGTCAAGAGAATGGCAGGTATTTGCTGTCTCTGGCCTGAGGCACAGTCCCGCTCTGGAAGCCAAAGGGTTGACTCCAAGGACGCCAGGGCTCCGGCACTCGGGAAGGGGACCAGAGGCCTTGCCCCGCTCCTGAAGCCAGACCACTTGAGCAGCGGCATCTTCCATAGGGGAGCCCACATCCTGGGCATTGCTTTAGCTGAAAGAGTAAGAACTAGTTGATTTTATCTACAGTTATCTAACTAGAGCTATTCAGCAAGCTCAAAAAATGATACTTTTCTTTTTATCAAGGAATCTGTCTATACACTCACAGGTGGGGTGTTTGTTTTGTTTTTGGGGTTTTTTTACTTTCTTTTTTTATTGTATTTTTTCCCATTCCCGTTTATCATTGACAGGTGTTTTAATCAAGGATATCTTGTTTTAGTTCCCACTTTGCCACTTATGTTCTGTATGTTCCTGAGCTTATCTGGTCTTATCTGTCAGGGCTTCTGTTTATTTATCAGTGAAGTGGTTGCCTTGACTAGATCCCTATTTTCCAATAGGCCAATCCTGTGGGTGGGGAGGAAGTAGGAAGGGTATAGAGGGGCTGCGTGGATGCAACACCCACACCTCCACTTCAGGGCACAGACTGCAATGGTCTGCGCGACTTCCTACGAGGATACATTTCTGCAATTTCTGCAACGAGAAGAGCAAGGTAAGAGTTGGGAAAAGTGGGAGGTCCGCTTCTGGCTCTCTTTGAGAAGAAGGAAATCCACCCAGAATCTATTCCTGGGGCTGAGACAGTGCGCAAAGTGGTTGAAGCTTGCGTGGTGGTTGTGGTTGTCACACGGAGGCCCTCCGACTTCAGAGAAGGGGTGTGGCTCCCGCACCGAGCCAGCTTGGCAGCCCGGATTGGTGGGAGGCAGAGTGAGGCGCTAGGTGACAGGCGGGGCCTCACAGGAGCCCTAGATTTAAGAGGCCACAGAGCCAAGGAGTCCCCGCCTCCTGCCCTGCTCTCTGGGACTGCAGCTGCCGGCTGCAGGAAGGACTTCAGTGCTTGGATTTAGATCCTTTGTGCCCAAGTCCGTGGCTGGTGCCAAAGAGCATTGCCACTTAACAGCTGTAAGGTGGAAACTATTTACAGATGCAATGCCAGTCGAGATCAGATGAGCTGGTTTTCTTTGTGAATGGAAAGAAGGTAAGTGTTGGGTATTTGAGACAGCAGAAAACTACTAGCTTGAAGGGAGCTTGTGTGGCCCATTTGGGTTGAAACCCCTCCAGTCAGGGACAGGAAGCCAGGGATTGGGAAACCATACTGCTTTGGCCTGTTCCCCACTTAGCCCCAGCTCAGCCTCTGTGATTTGGGGAGACAGTCCATTAACCCGTTAATTGTACATGCTCATTCTAATCCAGCTCTGCTATTTACTGTATAAACTTACGTAAGTTACTTCTCCTCTCTAAGCCTCAGAGCACCCATGCTCAGAATTTACTTCGACAGCAGTTATCACGATTAAAAGAGAAATGCTTCTCCACGGATTAGGAATCCCCTCAAAGCTTGTAAATCAGTCAGCACTGAGCCTGGAGGCACTTGACCTGAGAGCCTATCTTGATCCTCAGACTCAGGAGGAGAAGAAACTGGGCTTTCTTTATTTTTCTATTTGTCTATTTATTTTCCTATTTCTCCGTTATACAGAATTGGATGGAATGTAATTGCAGTCAACTCTGAGGCCCCTCTTTCCCTGGGTTGTGGCTAAGTTCCAGGAGGAAGCTGTATGACAGGAGAGAGGCTCTCCCTTCGTCAGCTTCCCTGGCACCCTCCCCTCCAATACACACAGGCCGGGAGCTAACCCTCAGCGCCCTCAGCCAGGCCCCCTCCTTTCCTGAGTCCCTGTCTTTTTTTTTTTTTTTTTTTAAAGCATTATTTTTTTTAAGGTTTATTTATTCATTTCTAGAGAGAGGAAGGGAGGGAGAAAGAAAGGGAGAGGAACACCAATGTGTGAGAGAAACATCTCAATAGGTTGCCTCTCGTGAGCCCTCAACGAGGGACCTGGCCCGCAACCCAAGCATTTGCCCTGACTGGGAATCGGACCGACGACTTTTTGGTTCACAGGCCAGCGTTCAACCCACTGAGCCACACTAGCCAGCGCTATCTGTCTCTTTAGTTCCCAAGGCAGGTGGTGTCTCTGGGGTCTCACTACCTGTCCTCCAGGGACCCTCAGCCCTGCAATCCCACAAACCTAATTGGAATTTGATCATGTTCACCCACTGCTCACCCCACGGCTTGGCTCGAGAAAGGACATAGAACACAGAAGCTCTAAGTTCTCATCATTTCCTCTCTAACTCTCTATCTTGTATCCAGTCTCCGCAGCCAGTAACCACCATACATTTGTCCAAAAATATCAGTCATGAGCTGAGTCCCTACTTGGTTGCTCCACTGCCCTAGACTTCAGAGGCTCCTTCCTCTATTTTCTGTTTCACACTCTCTGTGAAGTGGATGCAAATAGAATAGGGAATAAGTTAAGAGCTAGAGAAAACATAAGTGTCTGTGGTCGGGGTGGGAGTCAGCTAGATAATACAAATATTATCCAACCACATTCTCAGTAAATGTTTGTAAAGGACGTGGGATGGGAGTTAAGGCTGGCAGAGGAGGGCTTCTCCTTTTGTTGATTAGGAGCTCCTTGGAGATCCAGAAGACAGTTGAATTTTAACATATCAACTTGGAAGCATCTTCCTTGCACTTTTTTTATTACTTGAGGTCTTCACTAGTTCATGTTTTTCTTCTGGGTAAAAGAGAAGAACTGAACGTGATTAACTGTATCTTCCTCTGATGCTTGAGAATGGCTGGAGGGGTTTGCAGGGTACCCCAAGGCAAAGTCGAAGGAAATATCCCTAAATAAGCAAATGGGAAAAAAGCACCAAATGAGGACCATCCCTGACTTTTAGTGTAAATCTCCCACTTTTTAGTGTTCCACCAAAGCCACCCTGGCACCCTGAGCTGGGGCAACAAGGTTCACCATAAGCCACTCAGCCACATGGGTACCTCTAGGTCCTCCAGGATGACTGCACCTCCCTCTACCTCCCCTTTCTGCCACTAGCTTGTAAGATCCCTGATGTTATCAGATGTACTCCCTGCTGGAGGTGTCTCAGAGGCGCCAGAATAGACACTCTTCCTACCCAGCTTGCTCCCTTCCAGGACCCTTCATTAAACACACACACACACACACACACACACACACACACACACACACACACCCATCCAATTCTCCCCTGATTTGAACCATTTCAAGAGTACAAAAGACTGGGTTAGAAGATTCCAGGAAAATAGTGGAACAAACATGAAAGACACAGCTGCCAGGCACCTTTACACAGCAGTGGTTCCCAGGTCTCCTCACATCCAAGAGCATAGTTTCCACACTTCTTGGTGAGTCTCCTGCTCTATAAATGTAGGTGAAGGGTGTTGGCCCTCAAGTCACAAGAAAGCAGGAGCAGATGAAATCAAGCCTAACACTATACCCCAATCCCTAAGTCAGGCAGGCCACGATAGGCGCTCCACTGGGTCACTAATTCAGTCCTCATAATAATCTCTTTTCTGTTTTCTACACAGGTGATAGGAATGCGGACCCAGAAGTCACTCTGCTAACCTTCCTATGAAAGAACTGGACGCTTTTGATCAAAGTCTCGGCTGGGTCCATGTTTGCCTTAAAACCCAGGCCTACTGTGATTATGAAAACTAATCGAGCTCTCCATCCCCAAATAATCAGTCCCCTTGGCCCTTGCTCTCTCTCTCTCTCTGCAAGTGGCAATGCTTTTAAGGATATTAAGTTAACTGGGCTCTTTACAGAGGATGAAATTTTTCCACAGTTTCTTATATCTTGATTTTACGACAGTGAAATAGTATTAAGCTCTTCACTTCAACACTAATTACTTCTTTAAGGGTCTTCCAAGTCCCAGGAGGGCGGCTGTGTAATGGAGGTACATGTTTCTTCTTCCCTGCCCTGGGAAAACAAAAACAAAAACAAAAACAAGCTTTCCAGCTTCTTCAGGAAGAACATATGTCATAGAAAAAGATGGCCTTCTCCTACATCTGTTTCCTTATAGCAGATTGTCTCCCACATTTTATATTCTGAAATTTAAATTTTCACCATGGCAAACATATTTTAATTGATAAATCTAATGGATCACCCAGGGAAGACCAAAAAAAAGAAAAAAAGAAAAAGAAAGAAAGAAAAAGAAAAAAGAAAGACAAATTATAAATTGAGGGAATCTACCCCTAAACAGGTATTGTTTAGGCTCTGAAAGCCCACTTGGTTTTTAATTAGTTGTCAGTGTCTGAAAATTAGGAGACCTTATATTTTTAAGGAAGAAGGGTTTTAGCTTCTCATGAAAAATGGGAAGATAATCATTCCTGTGTGGCTACCGTTTTGCTTAGAGGTGAGGAGGGACTGTCCCTAGGCCCCTACGGAGCGTGCAGCGTGCGCGCTCCAGTTATACCCAGCCCACGCCACTTGTTCCCATAACCTCTCTGATAAGCATTTGAGGTTAAAACTTAATTCAAATGAATAAGTCCTGTGACTTAAAAAAAAAATCTGAAGTCTTCTTAGCCAGTCTAGTTAATTATACCCAACCCCCTAAACTTTGTGGAAATGCACCAAAATTAGGGAGCAGGCTGACTAAAGAGAGAGAGCAGAGGCTGAGCCTGGACCTGGAATTGAATCTGTACCAGCAGGAGCAGAGGGGCCCTCAAAGTGCATATGAAAATAGGGTAGGAGTTTTCTCCAAAGGCTCACTCACTCACTCCCATTCAAATGCAATACAAATCACAGGGCAAAACTAGCAATACACTGAAGTTCTAAAAATAAATTCCCTTCCAATTGCATAATTAGAACCCAGAAGAATACCTAGAATGAAATAGACTTTTTCAAAGGGCTTTTACTTTTACATCCATTATCCTATGAGATGCTAAGGAAAAGCACCTGAAGACAAAATAATTACTACTGGGTTGGCCAAAAAGTTCATTTGGTTTTTCCTGTAAGATGGCTCTAGTAGCGCTTACTTGTCTTGAACTTCATTCGAAACAATTTTGTTAGATTGTATTGTGACAGCTGTCATATCAGTGTGCATTTAAAAAAAAACATTGAAATTGGTGAATTTCTATGTAGCCATTTTAATATTGAAGATAGAAGAAAATATGCAACATTTTTGGCATATTATGCTTTATCATTTCAAGAAAGGTAAAAACTCAACTGAAATGCAAAAAAGATTTGGGCAGTGTATGGAAAAGGTGCTGTGACTGATCAAACATGTCAAAAGTGGTTTTGAAGTTTCAAGCTGGAGATTTCTCTCAGATGACGTTCCATGGTCAGGTAGACCAGTTGAAGTTGATAGTGATCAAATCATGACATTAGTTGAGAACAATCAATAGTCTACCACGCAGGAGATGGTTGACATACTTAAAATTTCCCAAGCAATAAAGTTATTGGTGAAAATGAAAAAAATGTGTCTTTTATTTTATGGAAAAAACTATACAGACTTTTTGGCCAACCCAATACCTTCCTCTGTGCAAGTGAGAAAACAGGCAGGGAGACATTAACACAATTAGTGTCATACAGCCGGTAATGGATGGAGTGGCCTTTATTGAGACCTGGAGGTGAATGACTTCTTATGCCCAAACCCTCACACGCCCCCCAAAGAAGACCATCTTCACTAGCGACGCCCTAGGGAGGCAGCTGTAATGGAGGCCACATGTCCACCTTGGCATCTTTTCCTTGGCCACCCCTTCCAGTAGGCCTCACAGGAACCAAGGACGCCTGTGGAAGAGGAGGCTGTGGCGCCTGTACCTTGATGGTGTCTAAGTGTGACCCTGTGTCCAAGGAGATAAGGTATCCTCCCCAGAAACCCAAAGGCCAGAGGAGGGCTTTGCTACTTTGCCAGACATGTATTCTCCTCTCACAATTAAAGAAGGTCTCCCTGCCTCATGACGCTCACTACCCCTGCATCTTAGACCCCTCTAAAAACCTGGTAAAAGCTATGACCTCTCTACTCAGACCGTGCATAAGTTAATTACATTTTGCACACAGTTTCAGGGAGATCATGGACCTCCCAAGGCCCATCTATGCATTGCAAGTTCAGAAACCCCAATTTAGGCCAAGCATTCATTCTCCGGATGAGGAAGCGGAGGCTCAACAATATGGAGTGACTTGTTCAAGGTCACACAACTAGAAAGTCATATAACAAGGACTCGGAACCATATTTGTCAGCTGACACTAATGCCCTTCCTACTGTTGGGCTGGAACAACCCTGCAGGACAGGGGCCTGGGTCATACTTCCCCCCTCAGATTAAGGACCAGATTCCAGGACTTGGGCTGCTTTCAAATCCACTGGCCCCCCAAAAATCAAGAAAGAGCCTAAGAACACAAGCCATCCAACACCGTTCAACGACCTTACACAAGGAGTTTAAAATTAACAAGCAAAAAATTCGCCAATGCAGGTAAAAGTCATAGGTGTGGTTTTGCCTGTTAGGGGGTCAATGCCCTAATGGATACCCGTTGAGGACCAACCCTTCTCCGGTGACCCAAGTCCAGTCCCATTGAGTTCAGACCCAGGTCCTCTGTTCTGGGCTTGGAAAGTTTTTCTGAAGTTCAGAATGTCCATATTCTCCCTGAGGATCCCCACGTCTTACAGAGAGCAGATAAGGTCAGCTGAGAGGCCTCCTCATCCCTGCCCCGCTCCAGGTACCGTCTCCCAGGCTGAAGGACAGGCCTTGGGGGGTTCCTGCTGCGCTACTTGCTTCCCAGGGTCCCCATGAGGCAGGACTGTGTTACTCCCCTTGATTTTCCGTGCTGCTCACACAGAAACACTTCCCCACCGCCGCGTGCCTGGTGCCCATCTGCTCTCTGTATGGAGCTGCTGTCACCACGGAAGAAGGCATGGGAAGCATCAGAACCAGGCTGCACCCCGTGCAGGTAAGAGCATCTGTTGATTCTCACTTCTTCACTTTATCTTTTTAACCAATGTTGAATTGACAGCGCTGCTTGGGGCTTCTCGGTTGCGGTCAGGTAAGCAGAATCTTTGGCTGCATATTGATCAAGATAATAACATCTGTTAAGTGAATCAAACAAAAAATGGAAATCCACCCATATTTTCTTAATGCTCATCTTTTTTTTATTTTACTTTTTCTATTTGAATGATAGATTGGATTATCAAAACATTATTTAATGCCTATTGGACCATGATGTGGAATAAACAAACAAAGCAAACGTCTCTGAAGCTCACAGGACAGAGTTCGGGATTATCCCCTGGGACCTGGAGGCCTTGGGAGTAAAACCCGAACTGGGGGCGACAGCAGCAGAGCGCGGGGACCATCCTTTCTCCAAAGCTTTACTCGAAACCGGAACGCAGAGGCGGTTTTAGGAGCGCCCGGACATGCACCGGCCGGAACACAGTGATTCCTCGGTCCCTGTCGCAGGGACTTGGAGAGTCACGGGTCCAGACCCACCAGCACCACAAGTCCTTCCAGGCAGGAGGAGCCTGGGTTTAACTATGTGAAAATCGATTCCAGGGAGGTCAGCTAACACAAAGGTCCCACCAGGATTCATAGAGTCTTTGGGGAGAACAGAGAGTAAGTATGTTTAGACCCAGGTAATAAACCCGGACTCCCAGGATAATCCTACACTACGTTGTGAAATCTAGAGTAGGGCTTCCCGAATGTTCTGGTGCCTAAGAATCAGCTGGGAATTATTTAAAAAGGAGATTCTGAGTCAGAAGGTTTAGAGCTGAGGCCTGAGGTCCTGCATTTCCTACAAGCTCCCAAGTGGAACCGACACCCCTGGCCCATGGACTGCATTCTAAATAGCGAGCATCTAGAACACAGACGAAAATCTTGGAGCTGTGAAAGTAAAGCTCCTTTTCAGCCAACGCAAAAGAATTTAAATAAGAAAGTACCATGAGGTCAACAGTAGATAACCTCCAGGTTAACCAAAGAGAGATGACCCTATGACCAGAACTAAGCTGCTCAAGAAGTAAAGATGTTGAAGAAAACTGTTTTTAAAGCCTACACATAATTTCTTTATAATTACTGATTTCTGGGGAGTTCTCCTCACTCTGGGAAGGGAGGCCGCATGCTGCTAATTCCCAATTAGAAGGATCTGGACATTTAAGCTTGAGAATTGATTATAATGATAGAAAATGGCTTCTGAGTCACTTCTTCTAGGAGCAGAGTAGGAAAGGGGACACCGGCCAACTCTGGTCGAGCAAAGGAGGGCACAGCTTAGAGAATGAGGTCTGTCCTGACCAGGGAGATGCGGGATGTGGCCCCTGGGCAGAGGTGGTGGCAGCAGAAAGGCGTGGCCTGTGACCAGGCCTGTGTGCTTCCAGGAGGGGATCACCAAGAGCCACAGCACCCAGTGTGGACTCTGCGTCCCTGGGATGGTGACATCCATGTACGCGCTGCTCAGGAACCACCCACAGCCCTCAGAGGAGCAGCTCATGGAAGCCCTGGGGAGTAGGTTTGACACAGAGAATCCTCACTGCCCCCAAGGTCAGGTGGGAAACGTGCCTCAGACTGCTTCACACCCCCGCCCCCCGCAAGGTCACCCCAGCCCCACTCAGGGACCGCCTTGGTTGTTTCTAAAGTAACTACCATTCACCCAGGAGAGAAGAGCATTTGCTGAAGCCACCTGCACAGAACTGACACAGTGCATGTGCACCACACCCCCATCTTGACACCCCGCTTCTCTATCCAGTGACTTATTTGGCTGCCCCCATTAGAGCTGTCACAACCAAGACCCACAGGCTGGCCGGGTTAAAACAACAGGACTTACTCTCTCACTGTTCTGGAGGCTGAGAGTCTTAAATCAAGTGTGAAAGTCCTAGAGGACTCTTCCTTGCCTCTTCCTAGTTCCTGAGGGTCGAGAGTCATCCTGACTTGCATTTCATCACTCCAACCTCCGTCTCCACCTTCTCATGGCCTCCTGTATCACAACGTCCAAATTTCCCTCTTCTTTCAAAGACACCAGTCACTGGATCAGGACACACTCTAATCCAGTATGACCTCAATTTAACCTGAGTACATCTGCAGAGACCCTAGCTCTGAATAAAGTCGCATGGACAAATTCCAGAGGTTAGGACCTCAACATATCTTCTGAGGGGACACAATTCAACCCATAACAGCCCTTCACACATTAACAGGATCCTTTAAAATTTGGAATGGATTTAAGTTACTTTAGAGGAGTTCATAAACATATCCCTTTTGCAGGATGAATAAACATTATTCTCAAGGGTCAATGATCCTTAAACTACTCATGTGTTAGGCACACAAATTCTTATACTGAGACCTAAACACAGGTACTCTCTTCTAATCTGCCAGCTGCTAAAGGACTCCCTTTACTCTCTCTGCTCCATTGCAGAAAATCAGGTCAAATCATCTAAAACCTCCACCTTCCTTAGGTCCTCCCACTATGTGAGGTCCTTCAACAGCTCCTCCCCCATCACATGTGGCCAAGCCTACCCTTCTTCACCACGCATTTAGAGAAGTCCAGTTGGACTCACTAATTCGTGCCCCCTCCTCTGCTACATGACCCTCTGCTGGCCAGTCTCCTCTCGGTCCCTAGTTTCTTCACACATTTTCACTTCTGCACCTTTGCTCATGCTGCTTTGTGAATCCTGGATGTCCCTCCCCTGCTCTCCACCAACCCATTGCATGTCTGCTCACCCTGCAAGCCCAGGCTTCTTTGTGAAGCCTTCCTGAATGAATTCTATTCCACACTGACCCTCCTCCACCCCCATCCCTATGCCTTCATCCATGGAAACCCGAGGTTCTCAAATTTTACCATGCAATGAATTACCCACAGACCTCTTAAATGCAGATTCCTGGGCTCATCCCTGGACATTCTGATTCAGGATCATCTTTAACATCTTTAACAAATACCCCCAGGAGCCCTGGCTGGTGTGGCTCAGTGGATTGAGCACCGGCCTGCAAATCAAAAGGTCTCTGGTTCAATTCGCAGTCAGGGCACATGCCTGGGTGGTGGGCCAGGTCCCCAGTAGGGGGCACTCGAGACACCAACGTATGGAGGCAACCATACGTTGATGTTTCTCTTTCTCCCTCCCTTCCCTTCCCCTCTCTAAAGATAAATAAATAAAATCTTTTTTAAAAAAAAGACAAATATCCCCAGGAAATTCTGATGCAGTGACCTAAAAACCACTAGGGAGCAGTACTAACAAACTGTCCAAGGCATGAGACTGCTCATATAGTACCTTAGAAATAACCTATATTTTTTGTGTTTTAGGATCCTTAAATCTTTCATAGTGTTCAAGATATAGTTGTTGTCAATAGATACATGTTGAATGAATGAATAAATTAATAGACGAATGCAAATGAAATCACCAGACTATTGTCTTCTTTAGGACAGGGAAAAAAATGAATTGAGATAGAGAAAAATATTCTAAGAAGAGAAAAAAGCATGGAACAGTCTGGCAGATATTTCAATGCTCTCAAGGATACCTGGGTCTATTTTAACTTTCAAAAGAAACCAGTAAAAATGAAGCCTCTGGTAATCATGCTCCTTATTTCGTTAGGTAATCTGTGCTGCCGCACGGGGTACCGGCCGCTCCCCGACAGTGGGAAGACCTTCTGCGTGGTGAGCAGGTGGCTGTAGGATGGCAGCCTGAGACCTTCGGGCAAAAACAAAGAACTGGAGTATCTGGAAGTACTTTGCTGGATACTTAGAAAAAATTATTTAAGGAAGATGATATAAGAAGTGAGTTGGGGGGAAATGGGAAATAAAAGCACCAGCAAATGGAAGCCTGCTTTAAACCTGCTTCATTGATTGTCCGTTTATCCCCAGTGAGTCTCATGCAGATCCCAAAGGTGTGGTTGCCTAAATGGTTTCCTTTTTTCACCTTCTTAAAAATTTTTCCTTTCTTTTTCTATTTTAAGGTCTTCATATAAATGACAATATTCAGTGTTGTTGAGTCTTATATATGCTAGAGAATGGACAGATAGTTATTGCCCTGAGAAGCATCTTACTGATAAATGTTACCACTAGAGATTTACCTAAGAAAAAATTCAGAGGTGTACACAAAGTTGTATGAGTAATAAACAGAAATGTATATTATGATGTTATTTATAGTTACAAAACATAAGGAAAAACTTAAGTATACATCAATAGTAATTTTTACTTATATATATCCAGAAGATGGATTATTATGCAATCAGTAAAATTATAGTTTATAGATGTTTAATAAGATGGAAAAAGACTCCTAATATAAAATGAACAAATAGGCAAATAAATAAAGCAATGGGCAAATGAACAAAGAGGCAAAATAAAAATACATTGTATTATAAATATAGTACAAATATTTATTATGTACAAATATTGCTAGTGGAATAGGGTAATGATAGTTTATTTCTTGTATGCTTTTCTATAATATATTCCATATTATTGTTTTAGTCTATAATTAAATATTTTCTCTGTTATATGTCATAAGTTTTATAAATTCTATATGTATCATTTTACTTTAAAAACAAAGCAGAAAGAAGAAAGATCTTGTGATATTTCCTATTCCAACAGAAGCCACCAAAAGTGATGAAAAATGTCATCTTGTTTAAATTGCCAAAACTTTCAAGGCACACACCCATTGACCTATTTAAAAAAAAAGTTTTTCATCTCAAGGCGTTTCACCTTCCTAGGAATCAAATGGCTGCCAACAGAAAGGAACAGGAAAATGCTGCTTGGATCAGAGAGAAGAAGATGATTCTTCCTTACGTGGCAGGAATAGCGACGGGAGTCCCTTTATTTGTTTTTCCTCTCCCTGAGAGTGCTGCTTGGTGCTGGCCCGGTGTTGACACTGTGCTTGGCATTCTCTGCTTTACTTAAACAAATGTCCAAAGAGCCTGCACTGAGAAAGCGCTTTTCATCTGGGAGGTGGCTAAAGTGGGGATTTAAAGCCCATGCTCTGACTTTCCTCTGGACTCTCTGGAAGCCTGAAAGAACAAAACAAAAACCCACCAGGCAGGAGAAAAAAGACCTACAGCAGCACAGATGAGCCCCGCTCTCGGGTGGAAATGGGTTTCTGTGCCTGGTCCTCCTCATGCAGAGTTGTCCCCTGTCCCTGTGTCTTCTCCTGTGTATGGAAAGGGCAGTGCAGCCTTGGAAATGCTGAGGAGCCTGTCCAAAGTCACATGATGAGTTCTTGCCCCCCCTACTCCTGGCCCCGACACCGCCCCCACCCCCTGCAGCTGGCAAGTTAGCCTGAGACATTCCAGTTCCTGGCTTTGCTCTCTCAGAGATACCAGATTTCAAAAAAAGACCCACTGCTGAGATCTTAAATGAACTATTTGGAGAAGCTGGAATTCAGGATAAATAGAGTTGACTCCCTGTAGATGAGGAAATCCACAAGAACAGAGTTGGCTTTAGAGGAAACTGAGCCATCATCTCCTTCCTGTATCTATTTCTATTTCTCAGACCAACCTTATTCCCATCCTTGGCCTGTATTTTGGTCTGAAGGAAGCATGCAATGAACAGAAGGGTGTTACAAGGGACCTTGGACCCCACCCCCATGACCATTTCACAGAGAATCAAGGCCTTGGAAGGGTCAGTACATTTGAATGTCTGATTCTCAATGTGGCCTTGGGGACTCAATCTGGGCAATGATCACGCTCTAGGAGCCACCTGACTTACTTTAATTAAACTCAGAAGGACATACAAGAGGGACCCAAGGAAAAAACCAAATGGAATTTGTTTATAAAAAATTGTTTGTTTATTTTTACATGTTTAAATTTCAGTCACCTTCAAAGTACTCTCCATTTGATGCAATTCATCTACTGAGACATTTTATTCCACTGTTCAAAACAGTTTTTGAACTTGTCGATTTTGGTGCCATTAGTGCTTCTGCTCTTTGTTGTTTCTCTTCTTCCACATCGGCAAAATGTTTCCCTCTAAAGACTTTTTTCATTGGGGAAACAAAAACAGTTGCCCAGGGTGAGATCAGGTGAATAAGGAGGGAGGAGTATGGGGGTCATGCCGTTTTTAGTCAAAAACTGCTGAACACTCAGCCCAGTGTGAGCAGGTGCAGGTGAGCTTGTAAATCATCCATCATGAAATGGGAAAACTCATTGAAAGAGTCTTCAAAAAAAACTCATTGAAGCCAAATGCAGCCTCTCACAACAACACCAGTGGGTGCACTGACACAGATGGGTTCCTAGAACACGCACCCAGCAGAGGAAGACTGTACTACAAGGGGCCCGCCCTCCACAAGATAATTCCATTTCTGGGGGGTTCCCCTTGCATGTGCCCTGATATTCCTTTATAAAAGAAACACAGATATAAAGTAGATCTTTTGATCACTAAGATACATGCCCTTTCCTTGTAGAAAAACAACACATAGAAAGCCCCAATTTGAGAAGGTTGGTTGGTGAGCATAGATGCAGAGCAGTTGAATAATCCTAAGGGTAGCCCTGCAGAAGACCCCTCTCTCCACCTGGCTAGACCTGATGTCTGCCCCCAGACCCTACCTTCTCTTTAAGCTATGATAATGCCTTCCAATTGAGTAACTGTTACGTCTTGGCCCAGCACCTGTAAGGGGAACTTTTAATTCCTTATTAGGTTTGTTTTACACTTTAATTCTCAGACACAATCTTATCTCTAGGTGTTAGAGATATACCACATTATTGTTCCCAGTACTGCCCTCGCTTCTAATTCCAGCTAACACAAAAACTGACCATTCAGGTACTGGCCTGCATGCTTCAATCTGGCATTCTACTAAGAAACTTTATAAGGAAAATTGCATGTTTTCTTGTTAGATCCTGAGAAGACCTCAGAGAGAGAGAGAGAAAAAGATGGGAACTGCTGCATAAATGTCAGGCCATTTTACCTAATTGTCACAATTACCCTTCAAAATGGCATTGTGTCCCCTTAACCTTTACAAGGTTAAGTGCCTTTCCAAAGGGTTAGGGCCGCGGCAGAGTTGAGGCAGGACCCAGATCTACCTGCTCCGAGTCTCTCCCCACGCTCTCCTCCAAGACAGAGAGTTCCTGTGCTGCTCCCCACAGCGCTCTCCCAGCACCCCAGCCTCTTCAGGAATGTTTTCTGGAATCAACATTTGCTTCAGGCAAGACTAGAGTTTGGGGAACTTTTCACTGTGCTTTAGTGTCCTAATTGTTAAAATGGAGATGATAATGTACTTTCTTTGTGTAGTTGTTGGATTAAATAAATTACTAGTACATGTGAAGCACATGGAAAATAAGCATTCCATCAATGTTCACTATTAGTAAACGTAGTGGGGGGGGGGTGTTCACACATGAGCATATTATGTTTAGAGTCATTTTTACTTAAGCTACAGGACTTTTCAGAGCTTTTAGTATTTTGAAGCTTGACTTGACAGATGAGAGGATAGTGATTTGAATTTCAAACTATAAATATTTTATATAAATAATCTCTGATAGTTTTTCATAGATTTTGTTGGTGTTCCATGGGGAACTCTTTGAAGTATCTCAGAATACTTTTTTCTTCAGTATTGTATTAGTGGAAAATCAATATTCCTTTTACCATAAAATTATTACTTAAAACAATTTGGTTCAAACTATTTCCCTGTACAAGGAGAGTAGGAGAGTTATTACTAGGTTCATTTTGCCTAATTAATATAAATAATTGTGATACTGTTTCCAGCTGAGCTGGGCTGATGGGACCATCTTCTCTGTGCTTTATATAGATTTCCACAGAGTTATTTACAAAAGATGAGTTCCAGCCCTTGAACCCTACCCAGGAGCTCATATTTCCCCCAGAACTCTTGGTAAGATGAATTGGATGTTTTACGTGCTTGTTAAAATGTCACTGGTTATAAACTCAGTTTCTAAAACCACCCTTTCCTTCCGTGTTGTAGAAATGTTTGATCAGATTAACATGCTTGTCCCTGCTCAGCTCATCAAGGCCTGGCTGATACCCTGGACACATCGCCCAGAGCCTCAGCTGAGGCTGTTTTTTAAATATCATCCTTACTCTCATCATTGTCATCTAGAATGTGCCCCTGCTGACTGTCCCATGCCATACAGCTTTGCTCAACTTCTAACTGTTTCTGGCCACTCCAGCATATTAACCCTAAGGGGCACTTCTAGCCTCACGCCCCCCCTCCCCCTATTCCTCCCCCTTCACTCTGTCAGCATCTCTATCTTTCCTCTCATCACCCAGTGGTCCCATTCTACAGAAGACCTGCATCTGAAGGGGTTCTGATGTGTTTATTTATGCATTTGACAAATATTTATTCATGTAGCCACATGCCAAGCACTGTTTTAGGTGCCGAATATACAGGAGGAAACAAAACTGCACAAAGACCTCAAGGAGTTTGTGATCTGGTGGGAGAGACAGGCAGTAAGCAAGAGAAGAGACATATAGTGTGAGCAGGTGAGAAATAAAACAGAAAAGAGGGGTAGGACGCAAGGGGTTGCAATTTTAAATATCCAGCAATAGAAGACCTCTCTGAGAAGGTCACATTTGAAGAAAATCCTAAAGGAAACAAGGGAGTCAGACACAAAGATATGTGGGGAAGAGCAAACCGGGCAGCGCAACGCAGCAAGTGTAGGCGTGGGAAGGGTGGGAGAGTGCCCCCCGGATCAAGCGACAGAGCCGGGGCCAGCCTGGCGGGGGCAGGGGGCGGTGAGGGGGAGAGCAGACCATAACGGACTTAGGGCTTTTACTCTCTGTGAGATGAGAAGCTTTCAGGGAGGCTGGTCAAGGGACAGGTATGCTCTGTCAACGTTGTAATGGGGCCTGAGGTCATGCTGGCTGCCGGGCTGGGAGGAACCTGCAGAGGAGCAGGGAAGAAGCAGGGAGCGCCGTCAGGGCACTGATGCCCTCCTAAGAGATTGCAGGGCGCTGGGCCAGGCTCCACTGTGCAGGTGGTGAGGCGCAAGTGGAGTCTACATAGGCAGGGTCCGGCAGAGGTAAGGCCCGCCTGAGTGTGGTTGGTAGGGCAATAATATGGGGGTAATAATTTATAGTTTTAATTTGAACATTTCACCTAAAACATCATATGGTGTGCTTGAGTGTGATATTGTTCCTTTACAGAATCGTATGCTTATGCTTTTGTAATAAAAAGGGGGCGTTATTTGTGCCGGGCCCTGTATTTTTAGAAGAACCAACAAGATTTGCTGAGGGACGTGATGCGGGATGTGGAAGAGAGAGGCTGATGTGGGGCTTCGGGCAGCTGGAAAGCGGCCGTTTGCAGAGAAGGAGCAGACCTCCTGAGGAGCAGAGTGTTTTTCCTTTGGGGGGCTTCGAAGGGGGTGAATATGAGAATCTTGTTTGTGAACATATTAAATTTGAGATGCCTATTACACATCTAAGAGCAGTCATTGAGTATTCATTCAGATAAATGAATTTGGATTTTAGAGAAAACATCTAGGCTGAATATATTACCTTAAATGTATTAGTATAATCATGATTTTTAAGGCCACGATACTAAACTATGTTAAATTAATCTTCACTGAAGTGTCAGCGACAGGTGCCAGTTCATACTGTCTCTTGTCTCCAAAAAGCGACCCATAAACAAGTCTGAAGCTAAGGGTTAATATCTAATTATGGAAATTCAGGCATTAACCAATGGGTGTCATGAGTATCTATTTGGCCAAGTGGGCCCCAGGACTCCTGAAATCTCTCGAAAAGGACATACCTCTACCTGGGATCTTGCCTAACCCAGGAAGACAGGGATGCACATGTGCCCACACACTTGTCGTTTGCACGCAGAGAATGGCAGAGGACCCAGAGAAAGGAAACCTGACCTTCCATGGAGAGAGGGTTACCTGGATCTCCCCTGGGACCCTCACGGACGTCCTGGAGCTGAAAGTGAAATACCCCGAAGCCTCCTTCATCCTCGGCAACACCTCCCTGGGTGAGTGATCACAATGGTTTCTGTGCTGCCACTGAAGCCAAGCTGCACTGATGCTCCCTACTCTGCTCTCAGTCTGCAAACAGTGCTTTTTAAGGATAAAACCTCATCCTTTATAATAAAAATATTATATTATAAAATATACTGTGTTATATATTAGTAGTATAATAATTGCATATAATTGTACATAAATTATACATATATGTGAATTGTATATATTATAACAATAATATAAAAAGTATGATACAAACATATTATATCATATTCCATTCCATTACATTATATTATGTTCTAATGGTCTCCAAAGTTGAAGACCCTAGGAGTATGCAGGGTAACCCCTTGAGGTGGGGAGGAAAGCATTAGAGGGTTTTTTAAAATCATTTACTTTATCTTGCCCTTTTTTATATTATTTTTCCTAAACAGTGAGTAGCTATAACAGAATTTTATCAAATGTATGTGGGTATATTAACAATGCACACCCAGCTATCACTAACTCCCAGTTTAAGAACGAGAGCTCGGCCAAGGACTGTGAAGGCGTGTGGACTCCCCCAGCCACACCCCTTCCCCCCTTCCTCTCAGAGGCCCTCATCAGCCTGCACGTGGTGCTGCTCAGTCTCTTCCTTGTTTGTACAGTTTTACCATGTATATTTGAATCCCTAAGCCATACATTATCTAGTTTCGTGTATTTCTGAACATCACATAAATAGATGGATGTGGTATTTTTCTTCTGCGTTTGCTTTGTTCATCGAACATTCTTGAGCTGAGATTCGCCCACATTGTTGCATGTAACTGTGCTAGATTTCATGTCGTGACTACGGCACAGTCGCCTCTTCCATTCTATTGCTGAAGAACACGGAGTGCTTTCCAAGTTTTGACTACTACTGATATTCTAATATATGACTCCTGGTGCCCACATGCAAGAGTTTTCTGAGAACCTCTCATCCATTTTACTTCCTATTTTTATATATATACATTGAGTGTATAAATAAATACATACACTGGAAGTGTGTGACTATAAATTTACTTGGCTTGGTGCATAGCCACTGCTTTCATATCTTTATGTATTATTTATTATCTGAAATTATTATCTGAACATTTTTATGAAAAATTTCCAATGCCAAAAAAAGGCGTTTTCTCTTTCCTAACTCTGTCTAAAATATATATTTACTTTTCAGGACCTGCAATGAAATCTCAAGGACATTTTCACCCAATTCTCCTCTCTCCTGCTAGGATTTCTGAGCTGAGTATTGTGTCTACAACAAGTGAGGGTGAGTTCCTGCTGTTCTTGTAAAATATCAGTGAACCAATCCCTGTACTAAACTTCCACATGCCAAATAGTTTGGAAACACCTCAAACACTTGTCTTGTCTGGCCTATCTCCAACTCTTCATCATTTTTTTGATGTGATGTACATCCCACCGGGAGACTTGACTATCAAAACCTTTGCACGGGTGATGGGGTATTGAGATGATATCATTCAAGGCCTTGTAGTCACCTTCAGGATTCTTGCCTGTTAAATGCCATGGTGACCTAGAGACAATAAATTTGCCATGTCACTTTGATGGGAAGACCCCAAGGAGAATGGGTGTCATCCATCAGTTGGTTCGATGGTCAATTCCAGGGACCAAAGATATTTGCAGGGGGAAAGTAGGACCAAATACTGTCTGGCACCCAAACATGGGGACAATGGTAAGAGGTCAGGTGGGACAAAGACCTGCCTGGGCAAGCACGCCTGGTCACTTACAACATCCGTAAAAGCCCACTACGTGCAGATATCATCAGGCAAAGCGACACTCACAAAATCAGAAGGGAACATGCAAGACTTTGCCTTTAAGATGGGTGGATATCCTTTGACAAAAGGAAATTTATTTTACTCCTTTCCACATCCCCCAGAGGTTCTAGCCTACAAAGACATGCATGTGAGTATCGTACTTGTATATAAGTGCTCCGTCAGTGACTTAATGGGGAAAAAAAATGAATGAGTTGGTCAGGAACTTGAATTTGGGATGCAGTAGAAAAAGTAACTCCCTGAACTCAGGCAGCAAGGAGGTTGACTGAACTGAGGGCAGGCCACTGTGTGTTTGTGGGGGTCAGTGGTGGGCCGTGGAGGGGACCCGCCTTGGCTCTTGCGCTGCCATCCAGGAGTCCTAGTCTCCTGGCCTGTAACCATCATCAGCCAAACTTAGGGGGTGCTGCAGACGGCAAGACTGCCCTGCCCTAGCCTCACCCCGCCCATTTGCAAGGAGAGGGGCCCTTCCTGGTTTCGCTCGGCACCATGGCTTTCCAGCCTCACTCAGCCTTGGGACAATTCAGGCAGCACACCTGAGTGTCACTCAGAAAACGAGGGGAAGGCACTTAGATTTACCTGAAATCTTGGTGTTGACAGAAAGGAGATGACAGAAACCAAAATTTGCCACCCTGGCGTTATTTGGGAAGATATTGATTTTAAGCTGTTTATTAAGGAACCAAGACTCAGTGGCAACCTTTGACCCTCCCCCCTTTCCTGTCCAAGAGATTCAGATTGAGAAAGCTGCTTCAGGAAGGAGATTTGAGGACGTTGCCCTCGCCTGGTTTGCATTAACTATGGCAAATAGAGGGCTTCAGACAGGGGCTTGTTAGCTAGATAACCTCTGGGTCTCATGTTTTTCCTGAGTCACCCAGCAAGCATTTTCCTGCCATATGTGTTCTGCTCTTCCTCAACCGCCTGTAAATGGTCCACTCTCACTTCTAAAACTGAAAACCCCCTTCTCTCTCTTTCCTCCTTTGTCCAGAATGTCTGATATACCCAATGTTGTCTCACCATCACTGGGATTTTCATGTCACTGGAATTTTCGTGCCTGTGTGAATTCCCTATATGCATCTATTAAAACTTGATTTTCTCCTGTTACTCTGCCTCTGTTAAGTTAATTATCCCAACCTAGAAGTACTTAGAAGATGGAAAGAAAAGTAGTAATTTTTTTAGCCCCCAAAGAGAGACGAGGAAGGGAAAATGGGTGGATCGGGAGTTTAGAAAACGAGGGTAAGTGGAAGGTTGGGATAGAAAAGCCTTCCTCTAATCTTTGCCCCAGGCAACACTTAGTTCATGTGTGTCAAACTTTTCTTTAGCACCAGAACCCTGACCTCAAACAAATTTTAAATAAAATAAGTGAATGAAAATAAGCTACTCTTTTGAAAAAAGCAACAGACTTTTCAGCATCCCTCCTGTCATGGAGCCCCCCATCCTGCCCTGAGAGTATTCTTCAGGGCACAAGTCACCATCCTCCATGTGACTCCAGGCCCTCATTTTATAGATGAGGGAGCCCGGAGGCAAAAGGAAAGCGTGCTTGCCCAAGGTCTCTGGACGGGCTGGGGGCCAGGTCACCAAGCCACACATTTCCCACTTTCAAATCAGAACTCTTTTGTTACTGCCATTCTCCGTCCCCAAAGCCCACCCCAAACACACAGCTCAGTTTGCATTCTGCAGGCAAAGTAGAGCCAGATTCTGAAATCTGAGGGGGAAAAACCAAAAACAATGCAAACCTGCCTGCCTCAGAACTTCTGAAAATTAAAGTGTGAGTGCCCTCTAGTGGCCCCCAGGGATGTTGCCCAGGATTCTCAAATTTCCTGAGGCCCAGGAGAGTGAAGTGGACAACGGCTGGTGAGGCAGAGCGGCCCCCTACCCCACCAGTATCCCCACCCTGAAAATAAATTTCTGCAATGGCATATGTTTGTTTAAGTTTTGCACGCTAATCTACATCACCTGCATGTTTAGCTCACTATACATTTTTTTTCCCCTCAAAATCTTCAGTATATTAAGTGCTCCAGAAAATCGCTGCATCTTTATCCCATAGACCCATGAACTCTGCGAAGCATGGAGTTGGAACAAAACCCACATTCTGAGAATCACACCAAGTTAAAGCTCTTTTCAATTCCACTGAAATACAAGCTAGATTTTGTGACCGAAGATGGAATGAAATATGAATGGAATTACAGTAAAGAGAATTTTCTTAGTGTAGCGGTATCATGCCTAGCACAAAGGGAGGGAGTAATGTGAGCAATAGAAATGGCCAAATAAAAGCCCCAGTGGATTGTCTGGCCTTCACCTGAGTTTGAAATCTGTGCTTGTGAGGACTCAGGAAAAAGAGCCGACAGCTGGCATTGCCTCTCCCATAGGGCTGAACTGCCCTTTTCCACGTATGTCAAATAGGAGACGGCCCTGCTGGTCTGTGTGATGCTTTTGACCTAAAAAAATAATAATAGCCTTTGTTTTTAGTTTCTGTCCTACAAATAAGACTGGGATTGTATGAAGCGTGCTTGGTCTTCCCAGCTCTCCTGTGGGGAAGGATAAAGCCAGGAATTTTGAAGAAGCTGAAGACCAAGCTCCAATGATAGGAAGCAACAGACCATAGCTGAAGGGTCTGGAAGGGGATCCCGTGTTCTGGAGCACCTGTTGTGAGACACTGAAACAGAAGCAGAGTGAGGACCCCAGGGGGAGACACTCCAGGGAGTAGGAGAAGTTCGGTTGCTTTTTAGCCAGATTTGCTCAGCAAAAGGGTAATAAGAAGCAGCTAGTGGTTTCCATCATCAATTAGGTGAGCTCAGTTTATTAAAGCCACGGGTGTTGTACAGCTATGTTGACGGAGATGAGGGAAGTATTGTGCCAGTATATACTTAATGTTGATTCAAAATAAAGCTATGTGGGGGAGTGAAATATTTTCAGAGATTAATCCACAAGAGAAAAGTCAAAGTCCAGCCTGCAATCTGCAGTCAGAACCCAGCCCTGGAAGTGATCAAATCAGACTCTGCGAGTTAGTGATTCATTCTGCAAACTCCAGAGGAGTGGAGGATTAATTTTTTTTTACGACCAAGCAGACTTTATTTCAAGAATGGAAGAAAGATTCTACATTAGAAAATCATTTCATTGATCACATTATCATAGTAAAAGAGGAAAATCTTATGATCACCTAAATAGATGGAATAAACATTTAATAAAAATTCAACACCCATTTCTAATATATGAGTAAATTCAGAGCAAACTAGGAATATAAGGAAACATTCTGAACCAGATAGTGAGTGAAGGAGTAATTTTAAATGGCTCCTAATGGTTTGGGTGACTTCTTCATTTTCAAAGACTGACCTAAACAATTTATATCGCTGCTGCAGGGAAACCCCCACGCCAGTGCTAGTATCCTGACAATGGTCACAAGTATGCCTGCAATGGTTGTTAAAAATGTGAATTATTTCCTTGCCAGGTAGCAAATAGCACTGCTTCAATCTTCCTGGATGCTCTCCCATTGGGGCTGCTTCCCTGGCCCCTCCATGGGGACCCCCCAATATCCCCACACCCAACAACACCCAACGTAATCCCTGGGGCAGCTCCTAGCATGGGCTGTGTTCATTCCAGTTGGCCGGAGCCCCTCATGCAACTGATGGTTGAAGATCTTGAGTATCAAGAGTAGCTGTAGGATACATATCAGCAGTTGAAACTATTCATTTTAGACAATGGAAAGGCCTCTGCCATTACTTTAATGACATCAGGTTTATCCACCGTAATTACAAAACATCCTTGCACAGCTTCAGCGTGGTCAGTCAGGAGGAGGTCACGGAAAGCCCTAGTAAGGTCTGCCACCTGCTGGCCGTTACTGTCGTTCCTTCTCTCTAGTTTCTATTCCTTTGCGTTTGTTCAAATGAGAATGTAGACCAGCCCAGAGGTCCTAACCCTGGCTGCACAGAACCACCTGGACCTTTGAAAAAGCCCCAGGCCCAGAGATTCTGCTTCAACTGAGCTAGGAAGGGGCATCTGGGCTGTTTTTGAGTTCCCGGCGATTCTCTGGGCAGCCAGGGTGGGGAGCCACTGTTCTAGGCCAAGACCAAGGCCCGGGCGTCCGGATTACAAGTCAGCTCCTCCCTCCGTGTCATGTGTAAAAACAGTTTGTTTTCCAGGACTGACAATAGGTGCAGGCTGCGGTCTAGCCCAGGTGAAGGACACCTTGGCTGAGAGGGTTTCCGAGCTCCCGGAGGGGAAAACTGAGACAGACCAAGCCCTCCTGAAGCACCTGAGGAGTCTGGTGAGCCAGCAGACCCAGTGCGTTCCCCCGCTGTCCCATTAGGCACATGGCGCCTATTTCTCAGTCTGAAATGCTGAAATAAGCATTGGCAGAATCCATATGCAAAAGGGTCTCAGCAGACTGAAGTGGCAGGCACGATAAATATTTAATACTTAACAAATATTATTGAATAACACACTTAAATATTTAACGTTTAACAAACATTATTGAATAACATACTTAAAGGAAGGTTCTAAGTGAAGTTTAATTAAATAGCTAAGTAGCACTATAGGTGGGAAAAGGACTTTATAATAAGACTATCAAAGAACCTACTTCAGTTTAAAGCTTCATTAACAGAAGTATAACACCTAAAATAAAGAGGGTAGCCTCCTCTGGGCCAGGCTGTTTAGACCACAGCCACAATGCTCAGATCTAAGAAACAGCTTAAGGTCTAGTTATTTTTTATATCAGGAGAAAGCAGAAGAGACATGGTTAGATTTTCAAAGTATATATGTTCCCTCTCCTACATACCCCAACCGGTGTATTAGAAATCCCTGGGATATCGGGATTAGGGGAGGACATGTCTCCTTTGAAAAAGCTCTTCAAGTGATTTCCAAGTGTTCTCTCCCCTATCAGGAACTGACTGTCCCCTGGAGCCTGGCCAGGAGAGCGGTGCCGGAGAGCGAGGGGCTGGAAGCCACATCAGAAAGAGGAATGGTGGGGGTGGGGGCCTGAGAGGGACCATGAGAGCTGCCTTCACGTACTCATAGGCTCCTGAGGGCAGATGGATTTATTCATATGTCCGAAAGGGTAGAAGCCTGTCTAATCGATGAGAGTCCAGGGAGGCAGGTTTCAGCTCAGTGGAAACAAAAGCTTTAAAATCAAGCTGTCCACAGAGAAATTGGGGGTCCCTGTCCCACCGCTGTTACGGCCTAAACCACAGCAGCCCAGGTTGTCACTGTGGACTCCATCACTCTGTGGGGAGGAGGGTATTGAGTTGAGTGGCTAGTCATTGCCCTCCCAAGTTCTGAGATACCATAGCCTCTGCTCTATCTGAGTGGAGTTTTCCAAAAAGAGAGAAGAGGCACTCCGCACTCTAAATGGTAAGGGTGGGTGCCCAGACCCTGACTTGGTCCCCATGAAGTCTGTGCTGTGGCCAAGACTGAGGGGGGTGGTTCGAAACTGGCCGCTGAACCTTGCTGCTGGGGTTTGAATCCCACTCCTGGCCCTTCCAGGAGACCTTGGTCTAATTTCACAATTCCTCTGTGCCCAGTGTCTCCAACTGTGGCGTGGAGAAATGGCATCAATCTCACTGGGTTGTTGTGAGGATGAGTAAATATGTGTGAAAAGGCTGACAGCAGGTGGAACACACCCAAAATCTACGCGAGTGTTAGCTACCGTCAATTCCCCTCAATCCCCAGTAGCCCGTGGGAGGGGCCTCCAGGTCAGGCTGACCTCCCGGACGGTGGGACCTGAGTCTCCTCTGCCCAGAAGGCCCAGGATCCCCTGGGCTCTTTCGCTCCCAGAGGGGACCACGAGCAGGTGCCAGTGGGGCAGAGGATTTGTGGGGTAGAATGACCCAGGCTGCAACACTCCCTCCTGAGTCCTTAGGGGGACATATCATAAGTCGGCATTGCTATTCGGACCTGAATCCAATTCTGGCTGTGGGCAATGCACCTCACAATGCTCACTCTGAACAGCACCTGGAGGTTTTTTGTCTTTTTCTAAGGATTCTCTTTAAGTAAGAGCCCATGTCTCTGGCTCTCAGTGCAGCATGGGAAGCTCGGGCTCCTGGACGAAGGCACGTTGATGCAAAGGGGTGGTTAGTGCTTCCTTCTGGCACTACTCCACATTCACACAACCCCCACCCTGGACTGCAACTCAGCCAGCCCACGCGTCAGCCGGGGGAGGGGAAACAGGCTGAGGCAAAGGCTCCCTCCTCTTCATGTACCCCGACCCCTGTCCCCAACTGCTGTGTGAGAAGCCACAAGTCTGGTGAGGACACACTGTGGACACCTCGGCCCTCCAGGGGTGGGAGGAAGGCAATGATTAATTTTACATAATGGCTGGGTGGGATGTTCCCTTGGCGCCGCTCCGTGCCAAACTACCCTTGTCTCCCCGGAAGTGCTCAGCTCTCACACCACCTCCAGCTGCTCCAAGGACGCCAACGCTCCCCTTAATGGGCAGTAACTGTGAGCCAGACTGTGCTGGACACTTTACACACAGCATGTTTAATCCATCCAGCCACCCAGCTGAGGTCACCTGCAGAGGCGTGTAGGATGGGAACCCCAGCCTGTCTGATTTCCTGACAGATACACTTGCCTCTTGTCTATAGGCTTCCTCCGCAAGGCCTCTAACTCCCCTTCCCATTCACTTCTCCCCTCTTTCACGCACAACCCCTCACATACCCACTGCTGTTCTCCATCCCACTCAAACCGCCCATTAGCTACCCAAGCATGGGCTGACACGGGCCCAGACACTGGGGTGCATAGCCTGCCTGTGTGAACTTCGAGGAGTGTGCAACCAGGAATTCTATCCAAGGCATCGTACACCTCCTGAGGGAGCTGTTGGCCAACATCGTCCTATCCCTGATCCATGGAGACTCGCAGTGTTGGGAGAGACTTGATGGCAGAGAAAAAGCTCTCCTATCCCCATTCAACTTTGTGTGGCGCCCGCCAGGCTGGAGGAGGGGAAAGGCCTCACCCCAGCCGGCCCGTCAGCCATGTTGCTGAGTCCTCCAGGCCTGTGGTCCAGGACGACCCCAGCTGACCCCCAGAGACAGGGAGAGAAGAAGCCCAGACTTGGGAAATGCGGATAGGAAGGATGCCTCCCACACTATTGGTAGTAGTAATAAGGGCAGTGAAAATGTCCTTCGACTGGGCTGTTTGTTATTACCCCCAGCTTAAGGTCTCTGTTCTCCCAGCTCTGCCAAAGCACCGGCACCCTGAACGCAGCCCAGCCCCAGCGAGGCCAGTACATGAGCTGGCTGACCAGCAGTAGGGCGGGCCAGCCAAGGTCAACTGGGGTCCCCTGGTCTCCTCACTGCACCTCCTGCGGAGCCACACACCGCCTTTCAAGGCCAGAAGGGGGTGCTCAGACTACTCAGTGACGACAACGGGGCTTAAAGGTTTTGTATGTACATCCCTTTCCTTTGAAGGTGTAGGCATCTGGCTTAGGAGCCAAAAAGAGCAGCAAAACCAAAAAGCAAACCCAATGGTTTGAACTCCATTAATAGTGGAAACAAACCCTCTGTCAGTATAAGTCACGCCCTTACCTTGAGCATTGAGGGCGTTAGGTTTAAATAGCCTCTGCTAAAAGGTGGAAACCCACACAGGCCTGGCAGGCCTTGGAGGCAGGAGGAGACCCGGTTCACACAGCCCGTGCCAAGAGCAAATGTCAGGAAGCTGCCACCACCCCTCCCTGCGGCAGAGACAGGAGAGTCCAGACTCTCGCTCACTCAGACGTCTGCATCACTTGGTGCTGAGAAAGGTGCCCTTTTCTTCTTTGCTGCTGACATTTAAAAGTGCAAAATAAATCTCACATTCCTTGTTGCCACTGTGCAGAAATGTCATTTATCCTCAACAGAAGGTACGCAGCAGATTCCTCTAAACGAATATTTTCTTGCTGGGTTGGCAAGAGCAGACCTGAAGCCTGAGGAAATTGTGCAGCCTGCGCTCATCCCTCACTTTCGAAAGGTAAGAATTCCCCTGGCCGCTCTTGAGGGTTGTTTTTCCCTTTTCATCACCGAGTCCAGTCATCTTACGACTTCGAAAACAGATAGAAGGAAAATAACTCTGCCGTGAGAGTAATAACTTCCTGTTCCCTGCGCCCGGGCACAGCTCCAGGGGCCTCCCATACCCTTGAGCAAGCAGCCCCAGGGTGTGGATTTAGGGTGTTGTTTCAGTTGTGGGGTGGGGCCTGCGGGCGCCTGCGGTCGGTCCTGCTTCCTTGTGTTCACTACTCTGGAGGCGGAAATTAAAGCTCTCTGGTGGTGGAATGAGCTTCTCAGCCTGACCCGCAAGGAAATGCAGGCTGGGCTGGGCCTCCTCAACTCAGGCTAACCCCAACAGTGTATAGAACACGGGGGCCCCCAGACATCTGCTAACACAGGATCCCTGGGGTTGACGTGGCCACCCCTGCACCCCCTCCCCGCCCCCCCAGCCCCGCCCCCGCCCCCCCCCCCCCCGCGCCACCCTGGCTAGGAAGGAGGCCTTCGGTCCTTGCTCTTTGCTCCCTGGGCCTCTCTCCAAAACTGTACCTGAATCCAGGAGGACAGTCTTTCCAGAGAAAAGTACTACAACACACACACACACACACACACACACACACACACACACACTCAACACACACCAAAAGCCAGGCATCAGCTGGGTTATGCAGGAAGTGATGCATTAAGTCATGCTCTCAGCCGCATATGGGCTTCACTTATTTTTCCTGTGGAATGAACACTTTGAACAATGTTCCCAGTCAAATGTGCCTCAGTAAAGTCCCCAGGCAGAAAAACAGGCAGACTCAAACACGACATCCCCGGTGGCCACACAGCTGGAAACACACCTGAGACGCAGGCCATCCCCGCGAACCCCCCGTCAGCGCGCCAGCAGTCACGGTGCCAAGAGATCGGCAGGGCAGCCATCACCCCCCTGATTCTTGTTCCTGGTACAAGACTCCTTAGCCCCCTGTTGGAAAGCTCATTTCGACCCCCTTATGGGCTGTGCAAAATGGAAAGCAATCGTTTCTGCAAACCAAGACAGGCGGGGCGGCCCTTTTGCACTTCAGGCAAATCATAAGGAAAAGCACTGGCGCTGGGAGGGCCCTCCCTCCTCACAGGAGACAAGGGTGTCTGAAGAGGACAGGGCATGATCCAGGCCTCTGTGCGGAGGCCTCCTGACCCCAGAGGAAAGGGGCACAGAGATCGCTGTTCCGCCAGGGCATCAGGCACGGCAGAGGCGGCTCTGAGAGGACGTTATTCCCCGTTTGAACAAGGAAGCAACCACCTTGCCTTCAAATCGTGCCAAGTATCCTTTGCGTCCCTTTAGATTGGGTTTAAGTGATTAACGAGTGGCACCAAGAAGCAGAAATATGCTCTTAGTTTTAACATATCAAATAACTGTAAGTGGTTTTTGTCCGCACAGTGGGAATTTGTGGCAGCCTTCCCACAGGGTCAGGGTCAGGGTCAGGGTCAGCAGAACGCCGCAGCCGATGTGAACGCCGGCGTGTGGGTCCTCAAGGAAGGCACAGGCACCACCGAGGGCCTGAGCGTCGCCTACGGAGGGGGTCGGGGCGGCCACCACCTGTGCTCACGGATCCTGCCAGCAGCTCCGAGGGAGGTAGGCAGTGAACCCTGCTCCCCAAGGGTGAATAGACATCAAAAAAAAAAAAAAAAAAAAAAAAAGAAAAAGAAAGGAGGGAAGGAAGAGAGGGAGGGAGGGAGGGAAGGAATCTGGCTCAGGCAAGCATTAGTAAAGCCCTGAGAAGATGGAAACTCCTGTGGGTAGAAAGGCTGCTTCTTCTTTCCACCATTTTTCTAAATGAATCAAACATTACTGGACTTGGATTAATAAGGTGGCACTCTTTGGGTCAGGAATACAACAAAAATGATGAGGCCTGCCTTCAGCCCCAGGCCTCTTGTGACATCAGCAACTCCAGCAAATGCACTGCAGGCAGCGTCCAAGTGGCACCTGCCACTCCCTTTGCTCAGGTGCAATCTCTTTCTTCCTCTGTGTACAGGTCAGAATTTTGTCCAGTTCATAATGGAACTGGACTTTAACGGTCTGTTTATTTAATGCCAGGTTGCAGCACGATTTGGCTCTTGATCATGCTTGGTTCATGTTCAAGGGACAGGTTCCATCTGCACCCTGCCATGACCCTCAGCCCATTTCTTGCTTTGGTTTTCCTCAAAGGCTCGGTTAGGTGATTTCTAAGTTCTCTTCCAACTCATACAGCAGTGTCCAACCCGGGGCCCCTGGGCCACATGCTGCCCGAGGTAGCTCTGAATGCAGCCCGAGACAAAATTGTAAATTTACTTAAAACCTGTTTTCGTTCATCAGTTTTCATTAGTGTTTGTGTATTTAATGTGTGGCCCAAGACAGCTCTTCTTCTTCCAGTGTGGCCCAGAGACACCAAAAGGTTGGCCACCCCTGTAAGATTCTGGGGTCTCTCAATGATCGCCATCCAATAACGAGCACCTGTCACACGACTGAAACAGCCCTTTAACTGGTTCCTTCCTGCTGCCAAGCCTACCAGGTGATGGAATGCGCTGATGCTAGATGAGGCTTGCAGGCTGCTTTGGATGAAGTGTCTCTCCCAGGCTCAGCTCCAGGGGCCAGGGTAGAATTCAAGAGGACTCTGGTGGCCAGCTTCTTCTTCAAGTTCTACCTAGAGGTTCTGCGGCAACTGAAGAAGCTGTAAGGCTGTCCTCTGTGCCTCTAAATGCTTCGGCTTGTATGTGCTCCTTGCAGCCGTAAGCTCCCGGCTGTCCCACTGCTTGTGCAAACCGTCTTGCGGGCAGCCTGCACCACTGCCTGCCACCTGTTCTGGGTCAGGCCCGGTCAGTTCCCAGCTGTCCCTCCTCCGGGTTCCTGAGGCTCGGGGTCCCAGCCTGACCGCAGCGCACAGATGTTGACCGCGTGCCCCAAGCAGTGAAACAGTCTTCATGCCCCCGCTTGGGCGTACAATTATTTTTCTTTCAAAATCACTTGATGAAAGTATAGTTACATATAATAAAATGTACCTATTTAAATGCAGTGAGTTTTGACAAGTGTGTGAACCCATGTAGCCACCGCCTCAAACAAGACAGAGAGCATTGCCGTGACCCCCAAATTTCCCTTTTGCCCCCTTGCAGTCAACCCCCCCACCCCTGCCCCTTGGCAAACACATTTCAATCTCCATGTGGAATGTAAAATAACATTTTAGTTTTCAAAAATACTAAAACATATTTTCATGCTAATATTTAAGTAGCTTCTTGTTAGATTTTCTGATTACAAATTTCTGGAGTAATTAACCAAAAGATTCCCTTTCTCAATCTCTCTCCCCCTCCCTCCCTCCTTTCCTCCCTCCTTGCCTCTCCTCCCCACTCTTTCCCTACCTTACACCCCCTACCCCCGGCCCCACCCCAACATTCCAGCGTTCCTAAAGTGTCTGATTTTCATCGAGTCAGATAGAGACCTTCACCAACCACATTCCCCAGAATAATCCTTGCTGCTTATTAAGACACTTGATGTGTTTCAGTGATGCACAAGGAGGCTTCCCAATTTTACTGCTCTCCAGAAAAGTTGAGTAGCTGAGAAAAATAATTAGTATATAGGATCTTTTGTGTACCGTGAACTCCAGCTCATTCTTGGATGGCTTTTTTAGCCTCAAATTTTCTTGCTTCTCCAATCTGCCAGCCAGCTCACCCATAGGCCTCTCTCCCTTCTCAGGGTGACTTAAGGATCAGATTCAAACCAGTCAGTCCAGTTCTTCATTGTGTGGAAAGAGAGGGAGGGCAAGAAACTTTCATACAAAGCAACATCCCTGAGAAGGGATGGGGACTTTGGTTATTCAGGCTACACTAACCATGCAGTTTCATGGAACCCTTAGCCAAGAAATTTTCTCCTAAATCAAAGCCCCACTTAATCACAGATTAACCAGTTTATCTGTACTGTTTTGAGACTTCACTCAGGACTGCCTCCATTCTCTTGAAGTTTCAGACCTATTCCCGAGTGCTCTAGAAGATTTCCCGGCCACCGTGCCTCAGAAAGTCCAAAGGTACCAGGTCAGTGAATTTAATTTAATGGAAACTTATCCACTAAGATAAACTGTAGCTGTGTGAACAAGCAAGCAGTTCAGAGTTGTGATTTTCACTTCTGATTTTGTAGTTTTTGCCAGCACATCCGCCCTTTGTTTAGGCCAATTCAGGGAGATGGTGGATCTGAGATCAGGCCTGAGCTACCACCAGGTGCACTTAAGGCTGAAGCAACCAGAACGGTTTGACCGCCTCGTAACTGATAGCCTCTTCGCACTATCAAACTGATGTCCTTTGGGCATTTGTTTGAGGTGCCGCTGAGCCCCTTGTAGGGGAAGAACAGCACTGGAAAGTAGCAAGGTTCATCCTCCACCCCCATTGCAAATGTTTGTATCTCCTCAGCAAAACAAGAACCCTGCAAGGAACAGAACCCACCTTCCTTGAAGAACAACTTAGAAAGTACCTATTATTATCTACTAGCATACCGCCCCTCCCCCACCCCATCTCCACACACCACACCACGCACAGATCTTCCTTGAGAACAGTTCCAAAGTAAACATTTTCTCTTCCATTTCTTTATACTCCCAGTGATGTTTTTAAAAAGGTTTTATTTCCTTACTTTTAGAGAGAGGGGAAGGGAGGGAGGAAAAGGGAGAGAAACATCAATGAGTTGCCTCTCACACACCCCTATCAGGGGACGTGGCCCACAACCCAGGCATGTGCCCTGGCTGGGAATCAAACCAGCAACTTTTGGGTTCGCACGCTGGCACTCAATCCATTGAGCCGCACCAGCCAGGGCTCTCCCAGTGATGTTTTTATGACCTTTACAGAGGGCAGCTAAGGCACCTTAGTCTGGATCCAGTGGACTCCACTGCCATTTGCTACGCCCTCCTCCACCAGGGGTCCTGCTCAGGTCGATAGCAGGCTTCTGGCAGGGATTTTGGTCCCTTGCCCTCAGGAATTATATTACTCTGGCCTTTGCCATCATGATCACTTTATATGTGAACAGGTTGATTCCTAGAAAGGTCAGAAAGCAGGACAGGGAGACCTCTAAATTCCAGAACAAAGGGATATAGGGGTACCACTTAGAAAAAGAAGATGTCAAGAGGACAAACTGGGGCGCCCCTTCACCTATTTCACAATTTTGCCAAAAAGTTGGCCCTGTGTAAGGTATTGCTACATAACTGCAATGACCATTGCCCAGTGTAGTTACATCATTAAATTGTCCTGTTCTCTATCTGACCTACCCCAGTGTTTGTTGCTCAAGGATAACTGTGTTTTCTCAATCCCAAATCAGCAAAGATGGTAATTGTCCAGGCCACTTCTGAAGATTCACCTTCTCCAGGGCAACTCCTGTCTTCCTCTATAGAATGTGGATTCTCACCAACCCCTCCAACATCCAATGGGATGCCCCATCATGCACCTGTCAGGTCTTAAGCAGGACACAGGGGAAGCCATGTCTTGTGATGACATCCTTAGGGTGGATAAAGAACTTTCCATGCCTTTGGTGACCAGTACGAGAGCCCATACAAAAATCACGTAAGTAAATGAAAAGCTTTCAAAAAGCCTTTTAAAAGCACACCTGGAGGAATGTGGCCATTCTACTGCAATGTGCTAAACCCGCAGGACCTAAAACGGAAGCAGTAAGGAAAAGGTCACCAGCCCCAGGAGGAGGAAGAGAGGGTGTCTGGAAATGGCTACCATGGAAAAGAAACAAAAATTACAGTTATGAGTCCCTTGCTTCCATTCTAACCCCACATCACCTCATCTCTCCACTGCATCCTCAGGCAGGACTCGAAGGAATAACTCTAAGTAGAGCTGATATTCAGCTGCTGATAAAATATGGAAATCCTTCATTAGTGAATGGTAAACAGCCACGTCCTAAGCTTCCTAAGGACGCCCCTTTGCAACAAACACGCCGGCCCCTCCGACAGCTCCCCTTCCAGCAGCTGAAGTGCTACGCCCTGGCCCAGCAGGGTCCTCTTGGACTCTGCCCTACAGAAAGTCAGCCCTGATCAGCGCCTAAGCTGGGCCAGTTATTTCATATTTTGATTGTCAGCCATGCTCTATCCCTGCAAGGGCCCTCAAAGCTTGCTGATGTCTACCCCTTAAATATTTCTCTTTTTTCAGATCAATTGATTTTTCCAAGGCCCTTAAACTGCCCGGGGTGGTTGATGTGATAACAGCTGGAGACATTCCAGGCACCAATGGCACTAAAGACAGCAAATATTTGGCTGTAGATGAGATATGGAAAATGCCTTTCCAGATGACTGTGTAGATAATCACCAAGGTACCACCTCCAGCCAGCCAGCTTCTCATGGCCTCCCAGCCCTCTCTGCCCCTGGGAAGAGGAGGAGGGTAGAAGCGCCAGTTCTTCCAAATTCTTTCTACCCATAACGTCGTTATTCAGATAGACCTACTCTTCTGGAGTCAGGAAATAACGTAATAAAAAGAAAAATTATTACAGAAAACCAACAAATCTTAGTTTTCCCACTGTGTGCCCTTGAGTCAATTTGTCCTCATCTGAAAAATGCAGGAACTAACCTGTATCAGGTTAGAATAGAAAGATCTAGAAAGGAGAGTACAAAAAGCACAGCCACTCCCTGTTATTTGCATTGAACTGCCTCCCTTTCTGGACCAACTGTAACTCCTTCACCTTCCACTTACCTCACACACTCCATTTTTAATGAAGCTGCTCTTGCCATCTTTGACCTTTGACCAATTCTACACTCATTCACTGGACACTTGTTTCTCAAGCCAGACTACCTTGGCTCATGTTCCAGCTCTACCCCTCACTTAGCTATGTGTCCTTAGGTGCCATCCCCTGTAAAATGGAAATAATCACAGTGTTGCTGTGAGATCTAAATGAGTCAATACGTGTGAAGTGCTTGCAACAGCGCTTGGCACACGAAGCCCCTCTGTGTTAGCTATTATTGCCACATCTCAGTGAGTCCCACTCAGACTGTTCTCCCTTAGCCAGGGAATGAATCACTGTCCTTTTGGTTGGACTCCAGATAAAGAAGTTGGCTGTTGTTTCGGAACTGTATTATCTGCTCAGGCCAACGTGACAAAATACCACAGACTGAGTGGCTTAAAAAAGAGAAATTTATTTTCTCACAATTCTGGAGGCTGAAAATCCAAGATCAAGGTATTGGCAGGTTTGTTTCTCCTGAGGCCCCTCGGCCTGCCTTGCAGATACTCATCTTCTCCCTGGGTCCTCACATGGCCTTTTGTCTGTGCCTGAACCTCCCTGATGTCTCTTCCTCTTCTTATGAGAACATCGATCATATTGGACTAGAGCTTCACCCTTGTGACCTCATTTAACCTTAATTACCTCTTTGAACGCCCTGTCTCCATTACATTCACATTGAGGGGTTAGACACAAGGGGTGTCCAACCTGTGGCCCATGGACCACACGCAGCCCAGGATGGCTGCGAATGCAACCCGACACCAAACTGTAAACTTACTTAAAACATTATGAGTTGGGTTTTTTTAAATTACATGTTGCGCCGTATTTAATGTGTGGCCCAAGACAACTCTTCTTCCAGTGTGGTGCAAAGATACCAACTGGTTGGACACCCCTGGGAGGGCTTCAAGATATGAATAGGGGTAGGAGAGCCATGTTCTACAAAAAAAACTTTCCTTATCTTTAATCTCTAAAATGACACCATGAAGGCAATGCAGTGAACCTAACTTGACAAGACAGAGCAGATTCAGGTCATAGCCAATCTCACATTCTCTCTGGAGCTTACATTCATTGAGTAAAATGGCCAATGGAAACATCTGTATTATTTAAATTATTTTTTAATTTTAAAGATATTTTAATGTTTTAGCCCAGCACATGCAGTTAAATGTGACGTGGTTATTAATACTCAACAATGACAACTAGGACACCAGCCATTGGTGAGGTTGAGCTAAGCATACTCTTCCCCAGAATCTTCTCCGTGTTTCATGCATGTCCTTTCCACAGGTACTGTGCGTGGGCCAGATCATCTGTGCTGTGGTTGCAGAGACCGACATACAGGCGAAGGGTGCAATTGAGAAGATAAAGATCACCTATGAAGATCTGGGGCCTGTAATCTTCACCACCGAGGTAAGCTGGCTCATCTCTCCCATCGGGTTGTAGAATTAAAAGTACTTTTGTAAATATCTTAATGCAAAACTAATTCAGGACTCTGACTTCTTCTTGTCACTGGCTTGCTCTGAATAGATCAGCTGTCTCTGGAAGATATTACTTGTATGAATTGAAATTAGCCTTGGCTCCAAGAAACAGGAAAAAGAATAATACAAATTTATTTCTCTATTACATTCAAAAAGTCTAAAAATGGTCGCTCCAGAGCTTACATGGGATTCTATGTGTCAGTGATCTGAGCTCCTGCTAGCCAGCTCTTCCTCACGCATGGTTTCCATTCATACTTTGGCCCACAATGGCTGCTGAAGCTCGGGCCATTGTGTCCACATTCCAGATAGCAGAGACAATGAAGTGATGATGAAGGGCAAATGCTTCCCTTTAAGGACAGTCCCAAAAGTTGACAGACCTTCCATTTACATCTCATTGGTTAGAACCTAGTCATATTCCATGTCTAACAAAAAGGGGAGCTGGAAAATATAGATTTTATTCCAAGTGGCCAGGTATCTACCAAAAATCGGGGATTCTATTACTTGAGGAAGATGATGAGACTAGACATTGGGAACAGTCATGTTTTTAAGGTGGAGCCAAACAGCAGTGGGATTCTTACAATGGAATTCCATAGAAATTTCCACTCTCATTTCTGGGTATGGATGATGAAATGCAAAAAATATTTAAGTTAGAATAGAAAAATCTGATGTGGATGGGGGTTTGCTGTTTCTAAGTTCAGAGTAATTGAGTTGAGAAAAGCTTACTCATTTGTGCAGTTGTGACAGAAAATAAAATTTTTTCAAAGGCCCTGGTGAACCATTTGAACATTTTTAAATGTGCCTGAAAGGTACAACTTGTTCAATATTCAAACTGTTTCTTGTTCTCTCTAAACCAAATCAACTCTTATCCAAATTCCCATCTTGCCAGTTCTGCATGAAGTCCAGGCCATTTCTCTGGGCTCACTCCCCTACCTAGGGTTCTACTAGGATCCTAATATGGGTTTTTAAAATTTCAATTCTAACCCCATCTCCTCAAGGGAAAAATGATGCACCCAGAGGACACACCCACAAAATATGTTGGGACTCAGAAGGGTTAGAGATCCAGCATTCCTTCAGAATACGACTGTCCAGGGTCAGCAAAAAAATTCTTTGGTAAACAAAAGTAGGTAATGAAATAGTCATATATACAAATACCTATGCATCCATCCATTCATTTATATGACTATGCATATATGAGAGACAGTGAAGGATAGTGGTTAAAAGCACAGGTTCTAGAAGCAAAGTGCCAGGTTTGAATTCTGATTGCACCAACACTAACCATATGACCTTTGGCAAGTTACTTGGCTTCCCTGTGCCATGGTTTCTTCATCTGTAAAATGGGGTTGATGATAACAATGTCTAATGCCTACCTCATTAGGTTTTCCTAAGACTAAATGAGTTTATACATGTAGAATAGTGCCTGGCACATAGTTAGTGCTTACTAAATAAAGCATATATTATTTATAAGATTATATTATGTTATGACACAGTACAGAATAGCAATAAACATACTTCCACATGCACTAGAGTGACTCATTGAGATCTTGGTACAGCACAAAATGAAAAAGTCGACTATATTTTTCATTTTCTGCTGCTTTGACTCATCAAGTGTTCATCATTAGGCAAGATGTTTCTGAAAACGAAACCTGGGCTGACTCCATCCCTTATTTGCAGCATCACTTGGAGAAAATTATTATAACTTTTCTATGCCCAGTTTCTTCATCTGGAAAATGGAGATCATAATAGAATTTACACGAGAATGCATGTAAATACACTGTGTATTGTCCAGTGCTTGACACAAAGCACTGGACCATCACAGTGGCTCCAGATCTTGATTCTTACCATTTCTCTAACCCTTGCTGGTTTCCTCTGCAATCTAGAAGACATTCCCTCCTTCATCCCATCTCTAAGGCAAGCCCACTACTCTAGAACTTCTTTGCTTGCATGGCTCCATTGATGTGTCCTAGTAGATAACAATCTGGGGGAGTTGGCTGGCTTCTGATTAAGGAAAAAACTGCTGGCCCTGGCTGGTGTGGCTCAATGGGTTGAGCACCAGCCTGTGAACTGAAAGTGCACATGCCCAGGTTGTGGTTCAGGTCCCCGGTTGTAGGGGTGTGAGGGGCTACTCATCGCTGTTTCTCTCACATGTCAATGTTTCTCTCCCTCTCTTTCTCCCTCCCTTCCCATCTGTCTTAAAAATAAATAAATAAAATCTTTTTAAAAAACTGCCAGTGGAAGAAAAAAAATACAAAGAACTGGCTTTTGTGTTTTTCTCCTGTCACTCAGGATGCCATCAAACACAATTCATTCTTATGCCCTGAAAAAAGACTTGAGCAAGGAGACATTGAGGAGGCATTTGGAAAAGTCGATCAAATTGTTGAAGGTAAGAGACTCAGGATATTTGACAGGATCTCTGCGGGATTCTGTTCTGAAGCAGACATCGACAGGACGTGATTTCCTTTCAAAAAGACCAGCTTCTACAGTCTTGGCGCTTGGCCAAATTTCCCTTAGTTCTCTTCTTTCCAGATTGGGTGTGTGTGCGTGAGAGTGTGTGTGTGTGTGTGTGTGTGTGTGTGTGTGTGTGTGTGTGTGTAGTTTTTGAGGGTGAGAAGTAGGAAGCAACAGAATGAATAGAAGAAAGACTAAGATTTTAAAGAGTCAAGGGCAGAGTAAGGAACAGAATATATGACACTTTCACCTTGTCATCCACACTGTGGTCTCTGAAACAGATTGCCCTCAGTTGCCACAGGACAAATGCCTGGCCCGTCAGTTCTTCAGTCAGGACAAATCCATGCTGGCCAGGTTGTGTCCTGCTTGCGTTTGAATTCCCTGACATGGCAATTTCCGACCAGCACACACCTTCTGGAATTTCCCTGTGCTTGCCCTTAACAGGAGAGGTCCACGTTGGAGGACAGGAACATTTTTACATGGAAACACAAAGAGTGCTTGTTTTTCCAAAGAGAGTGGACAAGAACTGGACATTTATGTGTCAACACAGGATCCATCCCACGTGCAGGTGAGGCCCGGCACCTCCCCCACCTCTGTAACTTTCCGATTCAATCATGGCCTTCAGTCCCCACAGCCTCGTAGTTGGCAGGCGTTTTACTTAGAAGACAAGTAATGGACATCAATAGAGAGCTGAAGACCCCAGGTCCTTTTATTTTTTCGGGTCTTGAGAAGTGGTAAATAAAAGGACAGCCACAGTCACTTCAGATTTAAAGAGTGCATTCATTCGCAACATGCTTAAATGAACTCTGTGATTGGACAACAGCACAAAGCTACATCTGCACTTGATTTTCCCTAAAATAATTATTATCGTTAACCTTTGGAGTAAACCCCTCATTTTATAGCACTTTTTTTTTTCCATTTTCCCAGCCACAAAGCACTCTAGGTTTTAGCTGCAGGCACTTCTCCTTCAGCAGCTTGTCATGCGTTTGCTGATTTTCACCTTGTTAGGACAGTAGGTCTGGGTGTTTGTCTAGGACTTCAGCTTCCAACAGGAATCCAGGACTCCAATAGTTTCTCTTCTGGAAAATGCTATTTTTCTGCTGGAAAGGCTGTTCTGTGACAATGACCTATGTTTATGAACTCAATAGGGCTCCACAAGACACATTCAGACTATGTCAGTGTGTGTACTAACAGAGCACATGAATCAATTTTGCTGTGATGTTGTGTTTCAGCAAACCGAAGTCTTCCCTGTCATTTCATTCTTGTGAAATTTTACCAATATCTAACTTTAAAAAAAAAACAATGTCTTCTACTTTAAACATCCCAAACGACAGGGTCACCTGTCATGTAATCCAAGTGGGTGGAGGTTTTGGCGGGGAAATAGGAAGACCATCTGTATTGGGGCTGCTGCCTCTGTGGGCGCTATTAAGTAAGTGCCCCTGGGCATACAGAAGGGTGTGAAATGTCAGAGCTGAGGGCAAATCAGTGGCCTGAGAGTCACTTGGGCTGCTGTCATAACTACCTGCCATTAGGCAACTCAGCCTCCTACCTCTTTTTCTTTTTAATTGCAGATATAATACCCATCCTCCCAGAGTTATTAGAAAAGTCTTTTGTAGAAAGGACTTTGAATATGCTACCTTCTTATAGGAAGGAAAAGTGGTATTATTCGGTGAACACCTACAGAGCGGGGGCTGCCTTGCCACTGAGCTCCAGGGGAGGTGACCCATTTAGGGGTAGGGCAAGTCCCCTGCCTATGTGCAGTGCCTAGGGGAAGAATACTCCCCCACGTTCCCTTCCTACTCTCAGCTGCAGACAGGATGGAGTGAGGAAAGAAAGGCTCCCACCATCTGCCTCCCAGTACCTGGGAGGGGTTGGTTTTCAATGTGTGCTCAGTGGACCAATGATATCTTCAAATAGCTCCTGGACTGACCTCAACGAAGGCTTGTTCCTTCACTGTGCACACTGTGCATGGTGCTGGCTTTTTTGTTCTTTGTTCATTTTCTTTTTTCTTTCTTCTTTCTCTTTCTTTCTTTCTTTCTTTCTTTATTTTTTGGTACTTTGTCAGAACTGCAATCAGCCCCGTAAACGTCAAACGTCCCACTTCCTTTAGCAGCTTCTCTGTACTTCAGAGCTAGGTCCCAAGACACTCAGATAGGTGTCTCCTTCCACAATGAGAGGTAGAAAAAGGCAGGATCTGAATCTCATCTCAGTTCTTTTCATAATGAACCTCTCTCTAGTCACACCCTCTAGGGACCCCGCAAGGGATAATTAGTTCCTTGTATTCCTACCAGGCTTGTCCCTTTAAGACTTCTCAAGCACGACCATACATTAGAATCATCTCAGGAGCATTTAAATACAACTCCTAGGATGCCCCATACTGACCCAGCCTTCGTTACATTTTAAAACTTCCCAGTAGTTCTACTGTTCAGCCAAGTGCGGGAAATAGCCTCTTAGGTCACAACCCTGACTTAGCACATACTTGCCTTGTGTTAAGTGGTCCCCAGAGCAATGTTCCCGAGTTGCTGATGATAAGAGTCTTCTGGGCTCATAGAAATTCCTGCCTCCCTATCCCAGACCCACTCTATCAAAGTCATTAGGGAATGAACCCAGAAACTGAGCATTTAACTGATGCTCCAGGTGGTTCTCACCATTAAAGAAGACCAGGAAACTTTATATTAGAATTATCATTTTCAATGTGTACCTAAAGACATCTGCATCAATATCACTGAGGAAAATGCAGGTTCTAGGGCCCCTCCTCAACCTATTGAATCAGAGTCTTAGTCCTAAGGCTCAGGAATGTGCATTTTCACCAGCACTCCAGAGAATTTTTCTGCACTCCAAAGTCTAGGCATCTCTGCCCCAGAGACAGAGAAAGGCTGAAGCTCTAGCTATCCAGGGGCCCAACTTGGCCACAGCGTATCAGTCACGGGTGAAAATGAAGATCCAAATCCAGACATCCTAGGATGAGTGTTGGCTTTTTCTGCAGTTGGGTTGTTAAGTTTGCATTTATCTGTTCACACTCTTTCTCCTTTGTTATTAGTGGTGGGGATATGCAAAAATGGCTGGATGTGGAGGACTGTCAAGTTTAAAGCCGTAACAACAAAAGTGAACTGACATGTGACAATAATCACTTTAGCTAGATCTGAATTATAGACCACAGAGACAATAGTAATTTAGTCATACACTAATTCAATCAATGCCTAACACAGTGTGTGCACTCAATGAAAAATATGGAATGGATGGATGGTTAACTGAATGGTTGGATAAAATGGGCAGGACGGCAGATGGGGGATGGATGGGTTGCAAGGTAGATAGATGGGTGGGTAGATTGTTAAATGAGGGCATGGATACTAGGTGAGCAGATGGGTGGATGGGTGGGTGGGATGAAGGATCTGACTAAGATTTGTTTTCTTTAGAACTGGCCACCCCATTTGTCTTGTTCTTGATCATGAAGATGACATGTTAATAGCTGGAGGAAGACACCCATTGTTTGGAAAATGTGAAGTGAGTATAAATATAAAATATAAATTAAAGATAAAATTATTAAGATACCTTATTTTATTTGAATGGTTTTATTCTTTTCTGTTATTTTGATGTCACTGAATTCTAAAAACAATAATCTTATTATCTAAAATACTCAATGAGGATGCTGTGTATTTGAATACTCGTAACATTTTTATAAGGAACTTTTAATAAATCTAGTGTAGAACTATGAAGTTGAATAATAAAAATACTTGATGAAAAACATTATTGAAAGAATAAGGATTTACACTAGTGCCTCCTCAGTGACCAAAAAACCTGAAAGAAGCTACAAATTTGTTATACCAAAATTTCACTTTACAAGTATTTCAACTAACTGGTTATGAACATGTCACAAAAATTTTTTGCAAATAAGAAAAAAGAATCCACTAACAAGTGAAATAGTTTCAAATTGATTCAAAGCACATTTATTGCATTTTTATGTAACTGTAGCATAAATACTATTAAAAATACTGTTCACATCTTGTTGACAACAATACTACTTTTCAAATTCGTGACTGAATTCTTAGAATAGTTCTAATGTAATATTTCCCTGTCAAATATGCTTTATTTGGGAATTGCTTATAGCATGTATGTAGCTAAACTCATCACTGCCTTAGATTACTACTAAACTATTATATTCCCTCTATTACTAAAGCCACAGCTTTTCATACCACAGCACAATTTTATTTCTTCCATTGGCATTAGGAATTTTTGTAATTAGAGAGGAATAAAACATAGCTGACAATTAAACTTTGTACTCACCTTCAAATGCACAGAAATTAATACAGATATAATTATCTTCTAAGGTGCATTCTGGGATTGCAGCAGTTGGTAGTATGGTAGTTGCTGAGTTCTTTGGTTTTGGCCTAGATTATAAATCAGGATTTATTTACATTACAGTTATGAGATTGTTTTAGTACTAGTACTTATTAAGAAGATTCTAGACTGTAAATATTTTGATAATTGTAGTAACATAAAATATAATTAAAAAGAGGGAAATAAGCTTTCTTTAAAAATGCAAATTTTATTTTTAAAGAAATATAATTTTACTTCTCATAAAATAATATGAATATGTATGTACATGTATGTATATATCCTCACTCAAACTTAGCTAACAATGTTTTGCTTGTTTATTTGGGACTATTTGTAAATTAGAGTAATAGATATTAATGTGTGATAAATTCTTCTGAAATTCTTTAAAAATTCATATTAAACAGCTTAAGAAGACAGCTCTGCTATCTTTGCTTAGCATGCATTCTTCATAAAAAGTTAAAGGTATACTTCAGCCTAGCCTTTGCCAAAATTATCATGAATTCTGAATGTGCAGATTTTTCCACATGTCCTAACTGCTCTGGTTTATTATACAACATTTTTCCTGGAGTAGATGATAATAACTGTATAACTGTATGGTTTCATCAGTGGTACTTATCCTCATTTTCAGAAAGACAAAGGAGCCAGACCCCATCCTTCTTCGGTAGAACTACAACATGGAGTGGGAATTTTTGTTTTCAATCTGGGCTCTACAGACAAACTGGTCTAGGTGGTGAAAGGGGAGTCGCAACTTCTGAAAAATACAAGGTGCCTTTTGTGAGTCCCAGTAAGAGGAGCAGGACTAGCTCACATTGGTTATGTCTATAACCAATTGCAAAGCACATCGCCGCTCAGTGCAATGGAAGCTATCACTCCAGCAGTCCATTTCTGACCTCAGCTTCCGAAGTTTTCCTGAAACAAGATGCACTGTGCTTCATTCCAATGCCCACTGGGATTCCAGAGACTCTTCCATAATGGGGGAAACCAGAGTCTAAGTTAGAAGGAATACCAGTAAAAAATGAAAGAGACTCTTCCAAGAATAAGGAAGAAGAGGGTAGCAATTACATGTCTGGAGATACGCAAGGACTTTAGAATTTCATACTGACTGTGTTGCCAGAAAATTACACGTTGAAAGGAAAGGGCTCGCAGAATTCAGTTCAAAGGAGGTCTTCGTCAGCCAAGTTCTAAAAAACAAGGGAATAGCCAGGTGTGGGACACCACTGAGCAAACAGGAGCAGAGTCTCTCTTCAGTTCTGCCCAATAGTGGAACAGGGATGCGGTTCCAACTTGGCGTAAGTTTTAAACATAAAATGTCTATCATTTGATGACAGGTGGGATTCATGCACAGCGGACGAATGGAAGACCTAGACACTGAGTGCTTCATTAACCGAGGGTGCACTCTAGGAGACTCAGAGGTGGTACGTGCATCAGAAACCAGTGTCCTTGACCAGGAATAGAATGCAGAATTTCTAGATGAGTCTTTACAGAACATATTTCCTCAAGTATTTACCAAGTTCCACAGCAGCTCAATTCTGTGTACTTGACTTTTAGAGAAAAGAAAAAACTGTTGTCCAGTACATGTGAATATCTTCTATTCCTTTAGACAACAAAATTTCTTTTATTAAAGCTGGAAAATGCATATAAAATCCAAAACCTCAGGTCCCAGGGCCGTGCATGTATGACCAATTTACCATCCAATATGTCCTTTCGCAGGTTTGGTTTCCCACAAGGAATCCTAGTAATAGAATCTGGCATAGCAGCTGTGGCAGCTAAATGTGGTCTTCTGCCAGAAAAGGTAAGATTGTAATTAAGGTCACAACCAAGATGGCTGAAGAATCAGATGAGGCATGAAACCAGCTACCTGGGGAGATACCCTAGAACAGCAATTTTTCAACCAGTGGTCACAAGAGTTTTTTAAAACATGTGATACCTGACTATACAGCCAGGGGCACTGACCTCTTTTCCCTTAGACTGCCAAATAAAAAAATAACAACATCCTGTACCCTGAGTGCTTTCCAAAGTGAAAATGATGTGCAAATGACCTAAAAATCTAATGCCTCTCGATACAGAATTCACGCAACGCCAGGTAGGGTAGGATAAAATGAGCCATGGTGGGGTGTATTTGCCGTGCAGGAGAATGGCCCTGGGCACAGGGGAATCACATCTGGGTCAGCCAAAAGAAACTCTGCAGACTGTCTTGCTTTTTCTTTTCCAGTGATCAAACAACTAGAGCCACTAACAGACAGCCAATTTTGTTGGAGGTGGGATAGAACAGCCCCATCCTAGGGTTTCCAGCAGTTGCCTAGTATTAGTAAGGACCTGAACAGGGACTGTGAAGGGCCAGCTAAGACATCTGGTGCATTTTTGCTTGGCGTGAGGGAAGAGGCACCGTGATTGCGCCCTGCTCTGTGAGGAAGCCTTATTTAAAAAAAAAAAAAAAATCCGGGGGCGGGGGGGCCAAAAGCCTCTGTATTTATTTCAACAATAAATAAAAAAGACTAGGAAAAAATGACAACAACCAACACAACAATACCTGTCTAATGTGAATGGTTCAAAATTATACCTATTTTTTTTGACAAATCAGCAAAAAATCTAATATATTTTTTGGTACTATTATTTGGTATATTTTTTGGTATCTGTACTAAGATAATTACTCTTTTTAAAATTCAAACCCCATCGAAGTAATTAAAGTTAAAAGCGAACGTCTCCTTTATATCCTCACATCCCTATTGTTTAAGGGTAACCATTGTTAACAGTTCCATGTTTATTGTTTTAATTATTTCTACATGGGTATCCTCCCATCTGTATTCATACACATATAAACATTGCCATATGTTTTTGTACGTGCACATATACAGATGTTTACCAAAATGGAACCATAATAAATAATTCTGTACTTTGCTTTTTCTATTTGACAGTAGGCCATGGCCATCTTCCTGTGGCAACAAAATGACCTACTTGCTTCTTTTTCATGACTGAATAGTATTATGTAATATGAATGTACCATAATTTATTTCACCATTCCACTATTGGTACACATTCAGGTTATTACCCATCTTTGGCTATTGAAATGGCGATGCCCTCTTATGTATAGGTTAAATTTACAGAAGTGAAATTGCTAGTGCACTTGAAAACTTTTGAGAGATACTGCCAAAAGGATACCCTCCAAAAATATTATTTTGTACAGTATCCTAGCACATGCACAGAATATACGATATACTAGGTAAGAGAGGGGCAGCCCCTGGCAATTGAAGTCATTGTTGATAACACTTTCTGCTCTTCTTAAATTCCAGTCAGAGCCCAGCCTGCTTTTTGCATTTCAACCTGTTCCCTCAATATAGACCCTCTAGCAAGGCCTCTCTATGTATTGTACTTTGAACCTCTTGTCCATAAATTCAACAGGGAGGACCACCAGGTTAGGGATTTGTGATTGTCAGGGTACTTCCTACACACAAGGGAACACCTAAACATAGAAAAAGTGATACTAAGAGAAGTCACATCAGCTGTTCTATCAGTACAAAGGAGAAAGACATCTTATTGGTTTGGCAAGCAGGAAGTCAGAACTTTCTGCAGAAGATGGTACCTGAGATAGGCCTTGAGGAATGATAGGCACAGATATCGAAAAGGTAATCGAGGCAAGTAGAACAGCTTGAACAAGGAGAGGCACCCTCTTTGTGACTCAGTTTTCTTATCTATAAAATGAGAACAATATGACTCAGTTCACAGGGTTCCTGCAAGAATCAAATGAGTTAACATTTGTTAAAATATTTTATAAACTAGATAGTGTCATTGTAATGTTGCTGTTGATAATAATAATTATTTTATTTGTTATTAGAGTGAGATGAGAATAATGAAAAACTCATGAGCATACCTCAGTGGGCTCTCGTTCTTTGCCAGGTGCTGCAGGCTTCCAGGACATAAGACTCACTCATATTCACGTACATTTTCAAAAAGATTTGACCTGTCGACATATGAAATGTCCAAACCTGCAGAGAACTTTCATAAGAGCTTATTTGCGCCAAACTGATGACAAAGGCCAGGAAACAAGATCTCAAATACTCTGGAGAATAACAGTTTGGCAGCGTTTATGCGTTTGAGATTAAGGAGAGAATGGAAGGAAGATTACATGGAGGTGAGAGAAAACAAAGCAGGAATTGGATTACAAAATAATCAACAAGATTATATGCTCTATTGAGGGTGGTTATAGCTTCTTTCAAAGATGTGTTAACCTAGATGCACAGAAAGAATGGACAGGGCTTGCTTAAGGCAAAGGTAAACTTTTTACTAAAAAGCTATCTGTCTGGGTTGTGACTATCCACCCTGACCTGCCTGGTTAGGAATCTATGATCAGATCACCCTGTGAGGTTACTTTCTATAGAACCTCTTTTTCACCCACAGACCACACATTTCAAAGGCAATTAGAAGGCTTAGAGAAGATCTGCTGTTTGTCAGTAGCTGCAAAGCTATTCCTCTCCAGCAGAACAAATCTTCAGATATGAAAATAAACCCTTGCTTTTATATACTATCTACCAACTCTGTTCCATCTCGGAACCTTGTAGAGAACAAAAAAAGAAAAGAGAGAGAGAATCTGCCTCCCTAGGCCCCTTCATGGCCCTGACCTTCACAGACCAGTCATTACCATTACCCTCCACTTTCAGGAGGGAGAGACCCTGATTAGCGCTTTGAAGAAGTGATGAGAAATAACCTCCATTGTTTTTGCAAAACCACATGCTATTCAAAGAAAAAAAAGAAAGACCCTGTCTTCTACCCAGGAAAGTTTGTGCTTTCATGGGGAGGCTTTTCAAGTCTTTGTTTTGCAGTCAGTTCTGTCTTACGGTAACTATTGACTCATTTTTCCACCCATTTCAGGTTAAAGCGAAAAATATGTACAGAACTGTTGGTAAAACCATTTACAAACAGGAGTTCAACCTTGAGCTCCTTATGAGATGCTGGAACGAATGTCTGGACAAGCCTTCCGGTGCTGTGCTTTCTGAGCTCAAAGTTCTCAAGGCTTGAGCAGGAATGGCGCTGCTCCTGGCCGGTGCCCCAGACCCCACAACACTCCTCTGTGCACCCTAAGGCTTTAGGCAGAGAAGTCATTCCATGCTGCCCTCAGCAGCCATTTGTTTCAAGCCACCTCTCCCAGGAATCTGTGTCAATTCTGATGGGGAAATGGGATGGGAGGCCCCCCAAATCCTCTCAGGCAGATTTGCGAAAGGAAGAGGCAAGTCACTCAGAGGCCCTCTCCAGAAGGGAGGAGGAAGGATAGTACCTAGATGAGTCCATTAAATGGCACAGGACTGGTACAGAGACTCTTCCCAGCAATCCCAGTGTGTCATAGATGGGAAAGCTGTTTAGACAACTGGGATACACTGTTGCCTCCCCTGATTGTCCACCAAAAGGAGAAAAATCTTAAATGCTTTAGATCTAAATATAAATCTAAAAACGCATTAGATCTCCCTTGTGTATCTACCATTGAAAGCATTCTTCCACTTACACTCAATTATTGGCATTCAATGGTGCGCACACACACACACACACACACACACACACACACAAGCTGGCCTATTGAAGGAAAGCTTGCTTAGGTAATAAAGCAGTTGCCCCAAATCCCTAATCAGTGGAGTCAGGCAGACCTGAGAAATCCTTGGCCCTGCCACTTATTGGCTGTGTTATATTAAGCAAGTTATTTAACCTCTCTGAACCTCAGCTTCCTCAATTATAAACTGCGAATAATAATCCTCTCTCTTAGGATTGATGAGAATTCGATGAGATAATGACTGTTAAGCTTTTGGCAGGGTTCCTGGGACATCGTGTCGTTTTCCAGAGCAGCCCATCCCCCACGCCCAGGAAATCTGACACGTCTCTCAGGGCGGTGGCTCTTCTGGCAGTAGGAGGAGACTCCCTGACTCCTGGGTCACACTCCTGTTCAGGTTCGACTTGCCGTTCTATGAAGAGGTGCAAGAAGGTTAACTGTCACATCTACAAGCCTGGGCTGAATCAACAGCTGGAGCATAAGAGATCCTGGATGGTCACATGTACAGTTTTTCCTCTGATGGCAAATGTCCTATCTTTTCTGGACCAATTCTCCAACACTAACTGGTGTCTAATAGATCAATTCCATTCTGACACTAACAACCCAAAGTTAATGCAGGCCCCATAAGGCAAGGGCTGAGTCGCATAAGGCTGCCACAAATGGGGTGCCCAGGCTCCTGGCATTTCTGCCCAGCTGACTACAGCTTTGGGGGTTTCCACTACCCAACCCCTCCGGTTTGATAATTCACTACATGAACTCACAGAACTCCGGAAAGCAGTTTACTTATGATTACTATGAATCCATTATACGTGATACAGCCCCAAGAGAGCCACATGGAAAAGAAGCGAGCGAAGGAGGGTGTGAGGCTCTCACGTCCTCTCCCTCTCGGCCATGCACCCCACCAGCGTGTGGGTGTGTTCACCAACCCAGAAGCTCCCAGGAACCCCTGTTGTTTGGGGGGGTTATGGAAATTTCATTACATAGGTACATTTGGTTAAATCATTGGCTGTGGGAGGTCAAAATCAATCTCGTCTTTCACACCGACCTGAAAATCAGGGAGTGGGGCTGAAAGATGTGACTCTCCGAGAGGCTGGTTTTTCCGACAACTATCCCCTCCCCCTTCCACCCTGTAGTTATCTAGTTTCCCCCCTAAGAGTCATCTCATTAGTATACAAAGGACAGTAAATTCCTAAATTCCATGTTTTTTTTAATTTGTATTTGTTGATCTTGAGGGAGAGAGAGAGTTAGGGAGGGAGAGAGAACAAAAACATGAATTTGTTGTTCCACTTATTTATGCGTTCATTGGTTGATTCTTGTATGTGTCCTGACGGGGAGAGAACCCACAACCTTGGTGTATCAGGATGACACTAACCAACTGAGCTACTTGGCCAAGGTCAGTTTCACAGGTTTTAGGAACTCTGTGCCAAAAGCCAGGGGCAAAGACCACATATTTATTTTTACTGTACCACAGCTCCCCTCACCTCTATGACTGCCCCTCACCAAAACCACAGCCTACTTTCTGCCACCTTCTCATCGCACCACACACAAAAACACTTCTTTAAATCAAGCATAAGTCTCCCTTTGAAAGGTCTCCAGCTTCCCCACAGAGTTCCAAATTGATGCACTCAAGTAGCACCAGGCTGGGAGCTGAAGCATGTTATTCCAGGTCAGCTGATGACTCATGAAGCTGGAACACCTACTCCCTAAACTAGGTATGAGAAGCGTCCTCCTCACACAAGGAGTCAAGATGGCCCTCAGTGAGTAAATACTATTATTAGAACCTGCCAGCCTTGCTTCTCTGGAATCCCTCCAAGCCATCCTGGGCCTCCAGGCATCTCCAGACAGAATAGACTGAAGTCCTAAATGCTCCTTCTCATCCTCCTCCTCCTCCTCTTTGAAGGAAAAATACCACATTTCCATTCATCCAGTTTAACAAACATTTCTTTAGTGTCTCTGTGATTCAGATCTACTCAAAGTTCTCTTCAGGACACAAAGATAAAAAAGACTAGGTGACCTTCCTCTACGATACTCTCACAGAAGACCTGTCACTCGCTGCATTCCCATTTCTTGTGGCTGCAGTAATGAACTACCACAAACAGAGTGGCTTAATACAAATTTATTCTCTTACAGTTCTGGAGGCTAGACGTTCAAAATCGAGGTGTTAGCAGTGCTATGCTTCTTCATAAGGCTCCGGGGAAGAATCCTGCCTTGCCTCCTTTTACCTACTTACAAAGACTACTTACAAATAAGGTTACATTCTGTAGTGCTAGGTGGACAGGAATTTGCAGGGAACGCCATTCAACTCAGTACAGCCTGTAAGAGTAAGTGCTGAGAAGGGCGTAACTGATCCTTCCCAGAGGGAAATGAGGAGTGTTCCCAGAAGTTTTAACAGAATGGGGTGTGGGTCTGAAGGCTGGGGAGCAAGCCAGGAAGACAGAATGGCATACACAAGATCACAGGTCAGGAAGGAACAGTGGCAATGCCAGACTTAGAAGCAAGGCAGGAAAAGACAAGGATGAAATGGGAGAAGTACAGGAGACCAAATCCGAAAGGGCCTCGTATTATAATAAGGATCAGGGCTCTCCCTGACAGACAATGGGGAGTTCTTGCCCACCTGGCCCAAGTGACAAACTGTTCTCCCCTTCATGCATCCATTCAGTGTCACTTTGGGGAACCCTTCCCTGGCTCTGCAGAAGCAGCCGGATCTGTCCTCCCAGGTTCCCAGGGCCCCTTACGGCACCCCATTTATCTCATATATCATTCTGCATTCTAATGACTTGCTGTCTAGCCTGGCCGCCCGCTGCACTGTGAGCTACTTGAAGAAGAAGCACATCTTGTTCATCTTTACATACCTAGGCTAAGCCTTGGTTGGCACATAACACATGCAAGTATCATCCTTACAGATGTTTAATTCACTAGTTTCGTGGCTTGCCAGAGGTTTTAAGCAAAGGAGTGACTTTCAGATAGTTGTAACCAATACCCACAACTCCTGAGTATCCCAAGGGACTCCTACTAAAAAACCAGGTTCCTAACTAAGGATATTTTTACAGGCAACTTTTGCACAAAACGACACTAAGCCTCAGAATCCTACCAGGAAAGCTTGCCTCTCTGACCCCGCCATTGCCTCGTTTCTAATATTGGAACTCACTCACCATTCACTGAGCTGTGCCTTCTGGGTCCGCTGTTTTTCTAGGCAGCTGCACTCGTTCATATCTGCACAGACGGGTCTGTGTTGGTCACACAAGGAGGCAACGAACTGGGACAAGATATTCACACCAAAATTCTACAGATGAGATAAATAAAATGAAGTCATTGATTTCTCGATTCGTGATTGACATGACTGACATTTGGCACTAATTTTAGGACAAGTGACAACTCTTTGAACTCAAACCCTAAGGTCTTGACTACAGAGTTGAAAAACTTCTTATACACCAAATAGAATGACTGAGGCAGTGGAAATCACATACATGTGCAAATACTCCCGGAGCTTGACCAGGTTTGCGGATGGAGGTGACTGTTAGCGAAAACACCAGTAGTGAGCCCTGGAGCGCGGCGGTACGTCCGCGCAGGCTTCCCCAGAGCAGGACTTCCTCAGCTTTTCTCTCTTGAGACCAGTGTGTATCATTTTTAAAGTTTGGACAACAATATTAGCATATTAGTTTGACAAGTAAAGACAAGTATTTCCTCGCTATGGTTCTCCTATAATTTTAAAAGAATATTTTAACACACACACATTCAAGGTCATCTGATACTGATACCAACAGTAGACCAAATCCGGGGTCAGTCTAATCTCTGTCTCTCTTCCTGCTGTCGTCACCAAATAAATATGAATAATGTCAGCTTGACCTACTCTCTGCACATGTAAAAAAATACGAATATACGTTCTCCAGAGAAAAAAGAATAATTATTTAAAGTGACTAATTTAACTTTATGACAAGCTTATTAGATTGTTACAGTGCACATCTGCAGCTTTTGACTGTCCAGCCTCTGAGCTACTTTGGAATACACCTCCCGCATTCCAGAGAGTTCTGAAGGACTCCTCAGTGCTGGTGGCTTTCCGCCGCATCCTCCCTGCCTGTTATTGGTACAAGGTTCATGTGTGCAGATGTTTCAAAAACAAAACAAAACAACAACAACAGCAAAAAGCCAACAGTCAAAACATCAGAGTTTGAAGTAAAGAAAAGTGTATTAATCCAGAAGGCCTAGCTCAAGAAGGTGGGGGTGCTTACAGCTTCTGCATATTCATCTTTTTTTTTCTTTTGTCTTTTTCTTCTTCTGAAAATCCATTTTACGGGAGCCCAGAATTCAGTTGTCTTTTTTGTTATCAAGGGAAGAGAGGAGGAGTGAGGCAAGAGGTGGGCGAGGGCCACAGACAGCTGGGCCCCACCAGGGTTCCAAGGGGAGCAAAATTTCTAAGCTCCCTTATTTCCAATTGGTGGTTGGTCTGTTGACACCTGCCCCCTGCCCCTCCCGCTGATCTGAGTGTGTCTGGAGACTCCTTTAAGTCCTTGCTAAACAGTCATTACTTTGTACATATTTCCCCAATTCTACCGAAAGGTGCCTTCTGACAAGGGACTGTTCTTTTGCAAAAACTCAAGCCTCAAGCAGAATTCCTCTAGTTAATTAGTATTATCTATTTATCTATGGAAGGAGCTATTAACCTGAAGGCTAGGATTCAGAGAGAGAGAACAAAAGCATTTCATTCTGCTGCCCTCCTTGCCACAACACCCACCAGGGATATAGGCACAGGACCACCTGGCCCATCATGGTTCCTAAATCCTCCTGGATGGAGGGATTGATCCAGGAAGAAGGCACATGACCAAGCAAGGCCAATCAGAGTCCTTTTTTAAGACTTGTGTAGATGCTGGGAAAAAGAAATATCGTTCCCCTACAGTTGTTGAGCTGCTATGCTATAGTACAGGGGTTGTCCAAGGCAGGTCTTCCATGCCCTGGAGGAAGCCTGTCTACTATTGGAAGTAACATGGCCATCACAGAAAGAAGAGCAAATGTGAGAAGCTCTGAGAGGACCCTGATGAGACCATAAAACCCCTAAACACAGACATACATGAAGCCAGTTCCATCTCTCCTTCCCAATTGCAGGAACCAATAAATTCTCTTTGGATTTTAATCAAGAACCAATAAAATTGCCTTTTTTCCCTTCATTTTGCATCATTCTGGGAAAACTTAATCATTGAATGGCATTAGTCTGAAAGTCTGAAGATAGGCATTTGGGAACAAGTACATACCTACAGACATCTGGAGAAAGTGTTATTGCAAAAAAAAAGACATCAACCAAAGTAATGCTTTTTGTCTTTTCCTGCCTTACCTCACCTCCTTTATTTTTCATTTCTTCTTGATTAAATATCTTAATTTCTACATGTGTCTGCTAGAGAAACTGGAAGAAAAAGAACAGAAAAGAAGAAAGTGGACAGCAAATACTGGAGGGATATAAGCAAGTGGGAACAAATAGGAAAAAAGGGAAGGAAACTAAAGTTAAGGTGATGATGGGGCCAGAAAAAAAACAGGCCCTCAGGTCATTTCAAGGTCATCTGATACTGATACCAACAGTAGACCAAATCCTGGGTCAGTCAGTCTAATCTCTGTCTCTCTTCCTGCCGTCGTCACCAAATAAATATGAATAATGTCAGCTTGACCTACTCTCTGCACATGTAAAACTTAGGGGAAAAAATGACATCTTTAACATCCTAAATGCACTAAATTTAAATGAAAGAATCACCGTGGAAAATTACCCCCAAAAACACATAAAAAATCAGCATGAGGCTCTACTAAAAAGTGGTTTTAATTTTTTACAAGACATTATATTAGGCTTTAAAGGATATCATGAACATAATAAAAACAGTAATTTTTATTAAGAAAAACAATGACTCAAATCTTCTTAGAATTCCTTGCTGAACTTGAAAATATTTATTTTTCTCTTAGGTGGCCAGCCGTGAATTAAAAATACCCGTGTCTTGTATACACCTCTCTGAAACAAGAACAGCCACGGTGCCCAATGCAATCGCTACGGCAGCATCCATCATTTCAGATGTCAATGGCAGGGCCGGGCAGGTGGTTCCTCCTGTCTGTCTTTCCTGGGGTACTTTTACCACATCTCTGGTTTTCTTAGCTGGATACAGGTACAAGTGGTTGGCTTCAGAGAAGTCATCTGTGTCACCAAACATAGGCTAAGGTTACTTGAAATGTCAGAAGAGTGTGTTAGTTGAAGTCGGCAAAACTGAAGTGACAGACCCAGGACAGAGTGGCTGAAGCATAAGAGAAGTCCCTTTCTTGTACATGTAAAAGTCCAGAGGGCATGTTCAGTCATTCAAGCACCCAGAGTGATGGCAGTTCCTTCATCTCCATCATGTGGCTTTCAAGGGTGTCCTGAGCACCATCATCCGGTGAGCCGGGGGAGGGAGAGAGCATGGAGGGCAGACCGGGCAGTGATGCAGGTCACTTCCACTCCTCCTCCACTAGCACAACCCGTCTCAGGCCACCGCGAACTGCAGCGGGGTTGGGAAGATGCAGAGTAGTGGGAAACCATGTGCCCAGCCACTAGGGGAAAAGCGGGGAATGGATTTTGGTGCACAGGCAGTCTCTGTCCCAGAAAGACACAGAAAGAAGAAATCCGGGTGCCAAGTAATACAGAGCTGTGCATGTTTCACCTGACACAAATAAGTTCTTGCAGGTGGGTAGGCAGACAGAACCCCAGCCAGGTAGGTAAGGTACAATTAAAGTGTCTACATCTGTGGAGTTCTACCAGAGTACTCATCTTTTCTGCTTGTACTTATTTTCAAACTAATGTTTAAAAAAAAAACTGTTCATTTTTACTTTTTCAGAATAGAACCATGACTTCATATTCCTTCATTCAAATATCTGATTGCAAGTACTTTTGAAGTCATCTCTTTTTGCCATGCTTATATTATAAACTGTCCACTTTTTCTATTGGGGTATTGTGGGGAGGCGTATACCCTCACTCCCAGAACACTGCCTGTAAGCTACCAAAAGGAACCACTTTAAATCCATCTTATCTTTGTGAGGACACCCCTAAGGGGCTCAAAAACCAGAGATACTTTTTACTCAGAACAAATGTGTGGGAAACCTCAAGTTCATCAGCTCTAATTTTGGGTAGCCTCAAACACAAGATAGGAACAATCCAGTGTGTATGGGAGTTGTCAGCCTAAACTAAGTATTAATTCATCTTCTAGAACAGCAATTTTCAACTGGTGTGCCACAAGAATTGTTCAAACATGCAATAACTGACTTTTTAGTCAGGGACACTAACCTCTTTTCCCTTAAATTGTCAAATATTTAAAAAAAAAAAAAAAAAAAAGGGCAGTGTATTGAGCACCAGCCTATGAACCAAAGGGTCGCTGGTTCGATTTGCACACATGTCTGGGTTGCAGGCCAGGTCCCCGGTGGGGGCATGTGAGGGATAACCATACATTGATGTTTCTCTCCCTCTTTCTCTCCCTCCCTCCCCCTCTCTCGAAAAATAAATAAATAAAGTCTTTTTTTAAAAAATGACCATAGCCATCTGGTGTGAACGAATCAAAATTATACCTATTTTATTGTCAGATTAGCAAAAAGTATAATATATTTTTGGTGTGCTGCAGAATTTTAGTAATTAGTTTCCATATGCCATGAGATGAAAAAGGTTGAAAACTGCTGTTCTAGAACAGTGAGTTCTAGGTTTCAGTTTTGAGTCTCAGAAACTTTGTAGATCTAGGTACTCATAAAAACAAACAATTATTTCTTCACTTCAAGCCCAAACCAAAGATCACTGTTGCGGGACTTTGATGGTGGATGAATGAATAGAGAGAGGGATGGACAGCGAGTTGAATAATGTTTCAGACCTGGAAAGATACTGGCATGTCATTGTTACAGGTTTGAAAGCACAAATTTCAATGAAAATAAGATGTTTTGTCCTATTTATTTTAATGGCTGGAAAATAACAAAAAATGAAGAAAGAGGTATAAGTCAAAAATGAAGAAAAAGAGAAGGAGGAATTAAGAACATGAATATTTTTAGAAAAGGGACCTGAGAGTAGAAATTCAGCTGAGCTGCCTTTTCACAGGAAGTGAAGAGGGAAGGGAAGAGGCACTGCAATGACTGAACTTCTTCTCAAGGTCAGCGGCTGTGTTGGCGTTGTCTCACTGTCTCATTGGCTCCGTAAGTATTCTCTGACCTAATCAATTATCAATTAATATTCTTCTACACAAACCCTAACCACTGAGCTCTGCTCTAATGGGAATTCACTTCTTTACTCCGTCAAGGATGCTTGTCAGCTCCTTCTGAAACGCCTTGAGCCCATCATTAAGGAAAATCCAGAAGGCACATGGGAAGACTGGGTGAGTGGTTCACTCTGTTACTACAAACAAGAAAATAATGCAAACCAGTGCCAAGAGCACCATGGCAGCACACAGCCATATCACGTACAGACGGACAGTTCTTCTAAGAGTGGGCAAGATCACCAATGGCTCAAAGGCTGAGACGGCTATTCCATGATGTGCACCAGGTGTGTATGGAGAGAGCACACATGGAACAGCATGACTGAGAAGCGGAATGGAAGTGTATGAAGAACACCCAGAAGGCCGTGCCCACCCTGCTTAGATAAGAAAGAAGAGGAAAAGAGGGAGCCTTCCTCAACCACACACACACACACACACACACACAAATGATGTGTTGAGTAGGGAGGAAGAAAACTAAGACATAATTGCTATTGAATCGATCTGAAGGGAAGTGACTCACTTAATCCAACTTTACAATACCCTCCATACTAGCCCATTAGCACAATTATCTCACACTTGCACGTGCACTGTCTAGAGCGCTGACATTTAGAAATGAAGGCCCAAATACCTTGTGAACTAAGCCCATACATCACGGATGTGCAGCAGGATTCCATCTTATTTATTTAATTCAGACTTCTGAACTCCATCAGAAGGAAGCTGTTAATGGACCAGCTGAGGGAAAAAATAACTATGATGAGTTCTATTATTGGTAACAAAGCATCAACAACAATGATCAGATGTCACTTTTGAGACATATTTTCATTCTGAATGTTCTCATTTTCATCTGTCAGATGGTATATTTATTTTACTTTAACTAAATATGCTCATTCTGCAGATAAAAGCTACTTTTGAACAAAGAATCAGTCTTTCAGCCACAGGACACTTCAGGTAAAAATTACCATAATAACGTCTTGACTTTGCTGAGAACATGTGAGGTAGCCCAGTCACTCCGGGCCATTTGCAAAGTATGTTTTTATTATGTGGTCTCTGAGGTCCCTTCTAGGGCCCAAATTCTATGACTTCACATAGTCCTTTGAGCTATGTCCAAAGATATATTAAATAAAAATACTCCTATTGGGTTAAAAAAAAAAAAGTAAAACACGACTTACAACATCTAATTATCATTTACGTTATTGTGGAAAAATAAAGAATAATAATATTCTTTATTGTAATAATAAAAAGAAATAACTTGAAACTCAGTTTTACAAATCTTCTTCCCAATACCATAAAAATCTTTCCGAGATGAAGCTGCTCGCTGGACAGGAGGAGGTGGGCAGGGCGACCGCCACCATCAGCGTCTGTGCAGCCCAGCAGTAGGGGGGCCATGGTCAATACCGGTTAATTCAATGAAGCGCAGAGAAGAGAGCTGATTGTCAACTCCTAGGACAGTATGACATTAGTTTAACAATCTAATGAAACAAACCACTGAGAGAGAGAGAGAGAGAGAGAGAGACCCTTATGGAGAAAGAAGGAAAGGAGGTAACAGCCCAGCCCAGTGCCCTGTATATTATGAGTTCTAAATTCCTGAGTTCAGTTACCAAGAAGAGAGCAAATCTGCCCCTAGCTGGGTACACTTGCCATTATAAATTAATGCATTGAATTGCCAGCCCCCCTTTTTTTATCAGTTAGGGGGTCCCTCTGGGAATGCTGATAAAATCATTTGAGGTTCTTAACATGTAGAGCTAAAGCACAAACCTAACCCATCAAAACACAGACCTAGAGGTCTGAACCTAAACCATCCGTTGGCTTCTCCTTGTTTTTGACATCCTAACTATAGCACAGAGATTATCCTCTTTGAAATCGAGGCGAAGAGCAGTGTTGCTATAACTAGCTAAGTTATAAATACATGTAGTGGTTCAAATGAGTTGAAAAGACAGTTTAGCCCTGGCTGGCTGTCTCATTTGGTTGGAGCATAGTCCTTGTACACCAAAAGGTTGCGGGTTTGATTCTCGGTCACAGTACATAACTGGGTTGCGGGTTCAATCCTCGATTAGGGTACATGCAGGAGGCCACCAACTGGCATTTCTCTCTCTCTCAAAAATCAATAAACATATCCGTGGGTGAGGATTTTTTTTTAAAAGGAGAAAAAGCAGTTGCAATAAACAGCAATAAAATGCTATCATAACTTCATAACTTTGGTGACTATTAAAATGAATCAGTACTGTTTCCACACATAAGCAGACACATGCATATGCCAAGCTAAAGGGTGTTTTTTCTACAGGGGCTACAAGGCCTTCATGGACTGGGAGAAGGGGGGGGTACCATTTCCTTACTGTATCTATGGAGCAGCCTGTTCCAAGGTTGAAACTGACGGCCTGATAGGAGCTCACAAGGTAACATAACTTTCCTCCTGGCAAGTTAAAACAATAACAAAATTGCCGTGTACATTAATAGCCCACTTTCATCATGTAATACATGTGTATAGTAAGAACAAGATTCTGTCTGTTTCTGTGGGAATGTCTAGAAATCCAGCTTTATCCTGAATTTCCACTTAAAAAGAAGTAGTTCAGGCAGGAATTGTTCATGACAGCCTAAAATGCATTGTTTCTTATTCTACCTCAGATAATAAAATCAACTTTCCAAAATATTTTGCAAGAAAAGGGGGGGTTGTTTCTAAAAGAAGATCAAGTTATCTAATATGAAGGAATGAAGGAATAGGTAATTTAGCAAGTTGTTTTGAGTAAACATTTTGAAAGCACATAGCAATATGATAAACTTTCTCAAAAATCAATTATCCCAAGGGTACTGCTGCATCTAAAGAAATAGATTGGGGATGGGAGGGCAAGGGGAAGGTTGTGAAAATAATTTTGTGTTTGTTATTTAATTGGGCACCCAAGAAAACACCTACAGCACTTACTACTGAAGGTAAGGAGTCATATTTAAGCAAAAATGAATACCTCTCACCATAAGCCTGTGAATATACCCCAAATGCCATCCTGGGAACAAAGATTACAGAAACCTTAAATAGAATATAATATAGTCCAAAGTATAGTAAACTGTTAGGAAATTTACAGGATTGACCAGTGACGCATCTAAATCCCATGCACAAATCACTCTGATATCATCTTGAACCATCTTGCTCTGAAATAGAAATGGTCAATTCATGTGAAATAGAAAGGACTTTGTAATACTGACTTGGAAATCCTATGAAAATGCCTTTGATTGCCCCATTGTTGGTTAACTTGTCCGCCACATAAAAATTCCAGGAATGAGATTTTTAAAAATACAGTAAACGAAGGGATATCCAGAGAGCAGTTGCCTTCACGTGTCACTCACGTTCACCCTTAGGACACACTACTATGCTGTCTCCCTTTTCATTATTAAGGATCATTGTTAAGAAGTAACTCATGAAATTAAGATCACAGATTACTAAAACTGTGTTTCCTAATGTTTCACACTGTGACATGCACAGATAACGATAATGTTGGCACAGCTCCGTGTGGCAAACCAGGAATCCGGGGTGGCAGGTGATCACCTGCAAAGGCCCAAACGTCAGTGCCTCTCTCCAGCCTCAGTGTTGGGTCCCCTGTTAACCCACCGGAGGCTCCGCGCTAGATGGGAAGCTGTTATTAGAAATCAACTAGTTTTCTGATCCTCTACCTTTAAGGTAGTGATGCCAGATTTAGCAAATAAAAATACAGGACACCCAGTTAAATTTGAATTTCAGAGAAACAACAAAATAATTTTCTGGTATAACTATGCTCTATGCAATAGTTGGGACATACTTATTATATCTGGTGATTCCACCTGAGGTCCTTGGTATAAATCCCCAAAGGAATGGGCCTGATGGGATCTTCCAGAATTTATGGTGCCTCCCTTATTACAGTTTAAGGTTCAGTCATTTCAGGATCAATAGTTTATTCTTTTAATTGAAGAGAAGTCAGAGAATGGGGTGCGTCAATGAAAACATCTGATGATTCAGTCAGTGCGAAGCCATCTCTTCTTGTTGTCCAACACCCACAAGGCAAAATAAGACCGGTTTCAAGACGGGAGTAAATTGAAGGCCAGCCCTGAGCAGCGTGCAGCCTCCTGCCCTGTTGAGGTTGAGAATGCACGCACGCTCGTCCAGTGCCCGCAGGAGGTTGTATGAAAGGCCAGAGTTTGAGTCAAAAGAGAATTTCCTTTTCAAAGAGCTAGATAGAGAGCAAGAACCCAGGGAGGGGGTCTAACCAGAGACTGGTGATATTAGAACAAACACCAGGCATGGGGGCAGAAGGGAAGCTCAGAGACCATCCTGCGATAGACCACAGGCACTTGGGGGCCTTCTGTGGCCCCTTAATGCCCTGCGTACACATGCCAGTGCAAAAACAAAAGGGTCAGGTTAGTGTGAGTTTTCTCGGGGAGGAAGTAGATTAGCAAAGTCTAAGGTGGTCTCAGCATTCGCCCTTACTATGTTTCAAGGTCTCGCAAATCCGCAGATTCATATATACCACTGTAGCTCCATAGTTTCCTCAGTAAAACACAATAAAACCTCCTGCACTAAACCATCATGAGAACTAGATGAGTCCGTGAATTATATTAGAGCAACAAATCCAAGTTGAGAATCAGATGAACAACCAGGCTCAATTATTTACTGAGTGACACTCCAGTACACCAACATGCTGCGGACTTTAGATGCACTTAAGAGGTGTCAAAACTGTGAACACAAAATACCCCCTGGGGCCGCTGGCAGCGCCGGCGCTGACTGTGAAGGGCTCCGCAGCTGCCCCGCCACCTCTAATGCCGGCGGGGTGCCAACGCAGTGTTAATTAACTAGCAAGGGTTCTGCAGTAATTTGGGACCACGTGAATAAATTTTTAAAATAATCTTTTCAATTCACGTTTTCACACGGAGGTAATTCTGAGCTTTGGCAGAAAATAAGCACAGACGTTGGCATGGACGCAGGTAGCAGCCTCGGTCCAGCCATCGACGTCGGGCAGGTCGGCCGGGCACTGCCGCGTCCCGAGGGGCGGGCCGCTGGGGAGCGGAAACGGCCTTCTGAAAAGCAGCCGGCACCGCAAGTTTGACATTTTTCCCCTTCAGATTGAAGGTGCGTTTATTCAGGGAATGGGCCTCTAAACCCCTGAAGAGCCGAAATATTCCCCAGAAGGTGTCCTGTACTCGCGAAGCCCAGACGAGCACAAAATCCCAACCATCACGGATGTCCTAGGGGAGTTCAATGTCTCCTCGTGGCCGTCGTCACCAAACCCACTAACCATCTATGCCTCCAAAGTAAGCACCCAAACCAGCCACTGCGCAATGTGGTGGGTCGGGCAGCATAATAAATGAAAACAGCTGGACAAAATAAAAAATGAATGTCAACCATTATGAGGACCAACCCAAGAGAGACTGTTAGAATTTGGAGATGCATCACCTAGAGAAAAGTGAGAGTCAGGGAATCTGGGGCCAAGGATTTTATTTATTAAATCTTCTGTCACCGGGAACTCTAAAATTCAGCAAAAAGCATCAACTGGATAGAATTACAGTTTCACTTAAGAACTGTAAGACTAAACCATCGAAAGAGAATGAGGGCACGATGCTCCTGAAATCTCAGAAAGCAACAGCAGCAGGAACAGAAAATCCTGGACTAGGCCTCAGAAAACCTGGATCCCCCCCCCAGCCCCACCCGCTCTCTGTGGTATTAGGCAAATCACGCACCTCCAAGGGCTCGGGGTCCCCAGCCATACCCAGAAAAAATCTAAAGCCATGTTTCACAACTGAGGCAGAAACGAGTGGGGGATTTTGCCCCCCAGGAAACATTTGGCAACATCTGGAGATGTTTCTGGTTGTCACAACTAGGGGGGAAGATGTTACTTCTAGTGGGTACAGGCCGGGGACGCTGCTAAATAGCCTTCATTGCACAAGGTAGCCCTCCACGATAAAGAACTATTCTGGACCCTGGGTCAATAGTGTCAGGAAGGAAAGACGCGAACCCTGAGCAATTGCTGAGCTAATGAAAATGCAAATTAAAATAAAAGCCAGCGTGTGTTTGCACTGCTGCGTGCACATTACATGACATCCACCCTCACCGCTGCAGCTTCATTTAGGTTTGAGATGTAGTATTAAAATTTTGTTTAAAATCTTCTCGGACGCCTCTTACTAATGGTGGCAAATTAATGCCAAAAGTAAATAAATAAATGGGTCCACATCTCTCTTCTGGAATTTTATCATTTCCACACTGGATCCAGCTAGAGCCCAGGAGCTCCCTTGGGGCGTAGGGGGATGAAGAGGGGCACGCTTGAAAGGAAGGACAATCAGCAGCACCTTCAGGTTCTCTTTGGGTTGGAAATCACTCAAAAGGGAAAAGGCAAAGAATGCTCAGAGCCCACAGAAAGTAGCTTCCAGGCCACCAAGTATGCCAAGGCAAGCAGGACCCTTGGGTTCCTGTGGTTGTGGCTGGCCACACACAGGCGGACCTGCAGGAAAATCATGGGTCTGCAGGTGTGCATGAAGTCTACTAAGTCACAATCAGAGGGACCTACCAAGCACCAGGTGCTGTGCTAGGTGGTTTTGTGCTTCCTGAACTTCACAGCATCCTGTCAGATAGGAATCATTGCCTGCATTTCATTGATAAAGGAAGAAGGACTCAGAGGGAGAGTCTCGCCCAGAGAAACACAGGGAGTAAGGGCCAGGATTCAGATTCAGCCTGTCCAGCTCAGGAGCTGCCACCTGGGGCCACTGGCCAATCCAGCCTGCACATGTGTTTCCTTTGTCCCTCGCGGTATTTTTTAAAGTCAGGGAATTTTACTGGAAAATACAAATATCTAACTTCTCTTAAAAAATTGGATTATCTGATCATCTTGGTTGAATTGGCAACCAGCTAGAAATGAAGGTCAGCTGCCTACTTTAGACAGGACACAGGTATCTCTACTTTGCCATAAACCCTGCTCGTTCTTACTGACTTTCATCTTTTCACATCACTCATTCATGTTACCTATTTCTTACAGGTGATGGGCTTGCAACCCATCTTCTGGTACCAAAGCCTGTACTCTTTCTTCCAGACCACCCTGCCTCTCCTGGCCTTGCAGTCATCATGAGGCATTTCTCTCTGTTCATGAAGCTGGCTGGTTCAATCCGCTGAATGTGTTTTTCTGAATAGGGTACCCTACCCTCACCACACACATACACACACACACACGCACACACACACACACACACAACCATCTTTCCTATAGACTGAAGATTTAGCCCAAACAGGATTAAAGATAGGGGAAATTCATGTGATACTGGGATTTTTAAGAGCACTCAAACTTCATTCAGTCAGTAAGTCAATCAACAAACTTTTGTGGAGAACCTTCTGCGTGCAAGACACTGTACTAGGGGTTGGGGATACAATGGTGAGCAAAACCTGGCCCCTTGCTTCTAGTGGCTTGAGGTCCAATGTAGAAGCTTCTAAAATAAACGCGCTTCCCTGCAGGGCCTAGGGGAGTCCGGAGTGGCCCTGGGGTCATCTGTATTCCTTGCCATCATTGATCCTGTGGCCACAACATGCAGGGAGAGAGAAATATAGCTGAAGACTTCCCAGTGAAGAGCCCAGCAACTCCAGAATGGGGTCGAATGGCCTGCGCGGATCAGTTCACACAGGTGGTATGGAATTATTGTTCATTTTCCTAATAGGTAATTTTCTTTTTCCTGTTTCTCATACCTCTTAGGTAAATTAGGTGTCTAATCAAATTATTAGAAGTTAAAATCAGCCATAATCTCACTAACCAGAAATCACCATAATGCACACACACCCACACTTTCAACCATCTTTTTTTGATAAATTTTTTATATATAGACACACAATTTATTTTAAGATTTTATTTATTCATTTCTAGAGAGAGGGGAAGGGAAGGAGAAAGAGAGGGCGAGAAACACCAATGTGCGGTTGCCTCTCACACGCCCCCAGCTAGGGACCTGGCCTGCAACCCAGGCACGTGCCCTGACCAGGAATCAAACCAGTGACTGTTTGGTTCGCAGGCCGGCACTCAACCCCCTGAGCCACAGCAGCCAGGGCCAGATACACAGCCGCTACACTGCTCCAGGATCTGTCATCAGTCTGACCGCCCTCCCTTCACCCATCTTTTAATTCATATATGTTCCTATGTAAAATATACCTTATTTATATACTACTCGTTTTACAGAATTGGGATATCCCTGACATAAGTATTTGAAAAGACTTGAACAGTGTAAATGGGAGTGACTCTGTGAGCCTCATTCACAGGAAATCTGGATTGAGAAGATATTTTTTCCCTTGAAAGATCCCTCAAAAAGTAGTTGCCTAAACCCAAAAAGAAAACAACCGGCCAAACTCATTTTTCCCACAAACTCATAACCTTTATTTATAGCCACTGGCATAAGTTTTGGAGATGAGGGCAGGGTAGAATGTTTAACTTCTTAATAATAAGCCCCTTGTTACTGCTCAGACTGTGTTGAGAGTGACCATTTATCCTTCATATGTATCCTGACATGCAGTATTCCTGCCACTCCAGTGACCTCATATATTTTTGAAACAATGAGAATATAAGCCCTTCAAATCCTTGAGGAGTCAGAGATTCAAGAGTTCCTCTGTTGTGGTCTCCAGGTCCCCGCCCCGCCCCCCATGGCTGCCCACAGGAGCCGCCGTGAGGGGGGCCTCCCAGGGGAAGCAGCGAGGAGGAAGTCCTGACCCCTGGTCTCACAGAGAGGACCAGCAACACAAAATATAGATTCCTCGGCTGCTTCCTGTCGCAGGAAATGGCAGTACTCCTCCATCCATGTAGTAATGTGAACCAGAAACCCAAGAGTTGACCTGACGTTTCTTTCTCGTCCTCAGCAGCCAGTCCTTCACCGTGTCCTGTCCATTTTAACCCCTAACAATCTCCTGCACCGCTCTAGGCCTTCCATCTCTAACCACTCTATTATGTATTCACTAAACAAACATTTGTTGAGTATCTAATAGGTGCCAGGCACTATTCTGAGTGCTGGGAATACAGCAGTGAATAAAAGAGGGTTACCTCCACTTACTCTCTAGGGCTCCTGTGTCCAACTGCCATCTCTCTAGCCTGGGACAGACAGAGCAGCCTCCTAATGGTCTCCTGACACCCACCGCAGCCAGAGATTTATGGTGTGACAAATACGTTCAGGTCACTCTAGCACGTGTGCAAGGTGAAAAGGTTCCCATTGCTCTTGGGTTAAAGATAAAACTTTGAAATTTGCCCGGCCAAGTCTAGAAACCTGTGCAGTCCGGCGCGGCAGGCCCCACCCCGCTCTCCAGCCGCCTGCGGCCCTCCCACTCAGCCTGCTCTCTCCACCCTGCCACATGGCCTTATTCTGTCTGGTCCTCGTATAAAGGACAGAGGCTCTGGCTTCTGCTCAGAACCGCCTTCCCTCTTTTCCTCACCTGGCGCACCCCTACTCACCTTTCACATTGATAAAAAAATCACATTGATTTTTTAATCACATTCAAGAAATTAATGTGATACTTTCCTTCTTGCATAGTTTGAGGTACCAAGAGTATAGTGGTGACCCAGGTACAGGTCCCTGCTCTCAAGTTGCTTCCAGTTGTTTACAGTGTAGCAGAGAGAAAGAAACAATTACTGTTCATTTTAAGTGCTTGGCTGACTCTGGTTTATCCCCATGCAATGGAACAAAACTTTCCTGACTGAGCCTTAACTTTTTCTTAAAGTCAAAGGAGTCGTGGATGCGGCTCCTGCTTTCATCACCATCATGTAATCATTCATTCATCTAACATTTATTCAGTCCCTTCCTCTAACATTTATTCAGTCCCTTCCATGGGTCAGGAACCACTGGGAATCTAAAGAAATAGCGAATTAGTCAACCTTTGCTCACATGGAGCTTATACTTTATTGGGGAAACCAGGCAGTAAACAAACGAAATAATTTCAGGTGGTGATAAATCCTGTGAAGCAAAATGGAAGAGTAGGAGGCTAGAATGCAGTGGAGAAATTTACTATAGATTATTTTTATATAGTTTATTGAGAAGTTTCTCTGGGTGTTCACATTTAAGCTGAGGCCTGAATGAGGTGAAGGAACAAGCATAAAGCTGGCGATGGCGTGATCGAGGCAGAGAATAGCTCGTGCAAAAGTCCCGAGGCAGTTTCAATAGATTTGAAGTAGCCTGGGACTAAGTAGCTCTCAAAAAAAATAATAGCCTTCTTCTTAAGCCTCTGATCTTGCTGCTCGGGCAGAAAAACTGTAACTGAAAGGCTGTAATTGTTCTTCCTGGCAGAGAGATCAAAGAAACAGAAATCTGTGGTTGCACCACCTATCTTCACATCAGCTCGGTGGCACCTGGACAGTCCTCAGCCACAGCTTCCCTGGCAACTAGCCTCTGTCATGATCCAGGTCTGTTCCTCAGATCTTCAGAAATTACATTCGTTCCCACAGCAGGTCTCCTGAAGCCTGGCTCCCCACACTGACACCCTAGGTGTTTGCTGGGTTTAAGTCTCCTTAAAGCCTCTTTGAACAAATCTGGGCCTGTATCAGCATTTGCATTTGATTAAACTACTACATGGTTTTTAAACTGAAATATGTCAAAATTCCCACTGCCATACAATCCTGTACTGTACAAAAAAGGTTTTTTAATAAGCACAGATACTAGCATTTTTTTTTTTTTGCATTTGCCTTTGAATGGTGTTGTCAAAACACAGTTTGCTCTGGCAGGGGAAGAGATGAGAGGGTCAGATGTCTGGCGCTAGAACATGAGCACTGGACAGTCCAAAACTACTCTCTTAATAAGCTCCTTATAACCATAAGGAAAACGCTCCTTACAACCAGAAGGAAAGTAACAGCATGACTATGTCTATTCCTCAAATAGAAATGAGGGTGCTCTGACTGGTGTGGCTCAGGGGGTTGGACACCATCCCGCAAAGCAAAAGGTCACCAGTTCGAGTCCAGGCAGGGACATGCCTGGGTTGCAGGCCAGGCCCCTGGTTGGGAGTGTGCAGGCAGCCAATGGATGTTTCTCTCCCACTCTTCCTCCCTGCCCCTCTCTCTAAAAATAAATAAATGAAATCTTAAAAAAAAAAGAAAAGAAATGAGGGTCAAACACAGTACTTCTCCTTTTGAAATTAAATTAAATATGCATTTAAGTACATGTAAAGCACTGTGTAAGTACAAGTCACTCTGTAAATATTAGAGTTGAAGTCTCCATCAAATACCCATAACTATGAATGACCTTCAAAATGTACCCCTCCCAAAGGCTGTAAAAGATTCCATATTAAATCAAGTTGACGTGGTGAGGGCAGAAAAAATGACTCAAGACTAGCAGCCACATATTTCTTGGATCATTAGCTTTAAGCTTCAACAAAAAGCAGGTGTTATTAGGAAGGCTAGAGCATTTTTGTTGCAAAAGTTCTTCTATTGGAGCAAGCATTTACCGTGTAAAACACTCCTACCTGCTTGGCTTTGATTACCTTGCTAAGAGCGGTTGCTTTAACCGGGGGCCCTGTCGGCGAGGACTCCAGGAGGCAGCGGTGGTGCTGGTGGTGTTTCCGCTCTGCGCCCAGCGGAGCAGCCTGGCTCAGCCAGACGTGACCCCAAACACCGTGTCTATATACAGCTTCCTTTTGGGGAGAAGAAAGAAAAATGTATTTGGGGGAAAATATGTTTTATGTAGTCATTTAAAAACTGACTACATATTTTTTTTTAAAAAGATTTTTTTTTTTCCTCAGGAAGGTGTTATAATTAACACCTTCAGGTTAGGACTTTTCCTTAGAAAGAGTGATTTCATTTAAAAAAAAAAAAAAAAAAAGACTTTAGGATTCTCCTGGCTGGTGTGTGTGGATTGGTTGGTGGGAACATTCCTGTGCAACCAAAGGTCGCGGGTCCATTCCCTGGCCAGGGCGCATAACTAGTTTGCAGTTTTGGTCCCGAGTGGGGATGCGTATGGGAGGCAGCCGATCAATGTCTCGCTCTCACTCTCTCAAAATCAATAAACGTATAAAAAAAATTTTTTAAATCTTTAGGATTCAGAGACACAAAGGATTTCACAGCCCTAAAAATTAGAAAAATACTGCCTTGGAGAATTTGGCAGTAAGACAAATAGAAAAACCTTGTTACCTTGTTATCACTGGCAGCAAAATGTGTTTGTTAAAGTAACTCCAGAAACTGCTATGTGTGGGGCTGCCGGAGTGGGAAGCCATGTCAAGCCAATTAGCAGATTCAGTCTCTGTCTCCTGGAAGCTAAAATGAGACAGCTCAGCTTAGAAACAAGTTTGTAAACGGGTTTCAGTTCACCCCACATTTTGAAGGGGCAGCTTTATAATGCTGACTCATACAGAACCCTTGCAACCACAACAACGGGTTATGTCGTGTGTTAGACTGAGCCCTGGTTTTACAGTAACTTAATGGGAAAAGGCTTTTCATTCTAGACCACGACTCAGTTCAGAATGGCCACACCTGCCCTGCCCTGGTTATTCTATCACAGTGACTCAACCCTTTTTGTCTCATGGCACACCCAACGTAATTATTAAAATTTCTGCAGCACACTGAAAAATATATCTTTTTGCCAATCTGACAAGAAACAGATATAATTTTGATTCATTCACACCAATGGCTATTGTTGTATTGGCTGTTGTCATTTTTTTAACATGACAATCTAAGGGGAAAAAGCTCCGTGCTCCAAGTATTAAAAATCCTTGTGGCACACCAGTGTGCCGCAAGCGCACCAGTTGAAAAGAGCTGCTCTATAAGGTCGGCCTTTGCATTCTCCACCTTGCAAACCCTCCCCCCTCCTCCCTCCTGCCCTCCTTCCTCTGTATCACTACCTCCTTCACCACCCCCAGGGCCCACTTTCTCTCCCCGCCTCGTTTGCATTTCTAGATGCCCAGACTCCGTGAAAGCTGGCAGCATTCACAGTGCCACCTGTTCGGTAAAGGCAGCCCTTCCTACCAGATGTAGGAAGAGAGGCGTGTGAATATTTCCGGTGCTGCAGGCGGCCTGGTTTCCCTACCCGATTCTCAGCTGGTTCACCCCATATCCTATCCTGAGCCTGGCTTTTCTCTGAGCTGGGAGAGGTATGCAGCCTGTCCTACAAGACTGCATTCTATTTCCCATGGTTCTGGACCCTACCCCCACAGCACGTAGAAACATGCAGTCTCCTGACTCTTCTGCTGAAAGCTAAGCCGCAGATAACTGGCAGGGCCCTAAAGCAGCACACATACACTCCGTCACATGGCTCCTGTGAGATGGGACACAGATGCAGGCTGCACGCCCACGGTGCCGCCTTCCTCCTGAGCCTGCTTCCCGCTCCAAGAGGCGTGTGCGCACCCGTACACACAAATACACACACACGCTTCACATTTTTTTCCTTGCCTCTCACGCTGTCTTGGAAGAGGTTTATTGGCACTCCAACAGGCTGTGAAACAGGGTCCACGTTGAACATGCTTGTCCCAGGATGCAGGGACCGAAACTGTTCTCTTCAGCGCTTGGACATAGGCCCTTCTTACTACTGAAGGGGGATTATCAGATACTATTACTAAGCGTACATTTTTGTACCTAAAAACTCTCCTACCTGGTCTCTGGAAGGCTACTCCTTTAGGAGGGAGAATCAGGGGAAGAGAAAGGATAGGGGAAGCACTCAAAAGCAAGAGGACAAAGCTGGAGGCATTGCTCAGGTTAAGACAGGGAATGAGCAAGGCAGAATGTAAAACAGGGGACAGCGTAACGATGCACTGCTTTAACTTAGCTAAGACATGGCCCTGGAGTCAGAGGGACCTAAGTTGGAATCCCAGCTCAAACTTTCGTAATTGATTTACTTTCTCTAATCACTCCATTTCCTTATCTATAAAATGGGGGAGTGGTGTGTGGAGAGAATAATTATGACTTTATGGGGTTGTAAGGTTTAAGTAAGATAATATGTGAAGAGGGTTTAGCGGCTGACCACACATAGGAAGTGGTCAATAACATTGATAATGATGATGACTGAATCAACACTCCCAGAGAGCGCCTTCAGTCGCAGTGATTCACAACATGGACTCACAGACCTTAGAATGCTGTTACATTCATGGTTTGGTTTGTTGCAGTGAAAGGACACAGGTTAACATCAGCAAAGGGAAAAGGCAGGCAGGGCAGAGCCCAGGACAGACCGGGTGTAAGCTTCCGGTTGCTCCTCCCAGTGGAGTCACACAGACGGCATTTAATCCTCCCGGCAATAATGTGTGAGAAGATGCGCAAAGTATTGCCAGTCAGAGAGGCTCACCTGAGTCTTGGCATTCAGGGTTCTTCTCAGGCATCAGTCACATAGGCACAGGTCACCTGCATAGATGACCTTAGCTAGTCAGTGTTCAGCCCTCCCAGAGGTCAAATGATGCCACAAGGCCCAAAGCCTCAGGTAAACAAAGACATGCTTATCAGGCAGGCTATTTCAAGGGCTTAGCATCAGGGGTGTCCAACCTGTTGGCGAATCTGGGCCACACTGGGAGAAGAAGCGTTGTCTTGGGCCACACATTAAATACATTGTGACACGTAATCACACACACAAAAAAATCTCATAGTGTTTGAAGTAAATTTACAATTTTGTGTTCGACCGCCTTCGTAGCCATCCTGAGCCTCATGCAGCCCCCGGGTTGAACTTCCCTAGTGGGTGTTATCTCCCAGGAGCTGGTCAAAGGCTAAATTTTTCTTTAGAATGTGCAGGGTTTGGGCAACCCAGGTCTGCTGAGTTAATATTTTATTGCCCAATAATGATGCTGAAATTAATGATAAAGAATTCTGGATTGATGGCAACAACTACTGACATTAGGCCTTGACACCAAGGAGACTGGAGACAGACGTATCTCAGAAGCTGAGATTTGACTAAAAATGGAATCAGCCTTGATGGCCATCATGAATATATTACCTTCATTATAGCTGTGAAGAAACAACCAGGGAACCCTGACTGGCGTGGTTTAGTGGGTTGAGCGCCATCCCACAAACCAAAAGGTCACCAGTTCAATTCCCAACCAGGACGCATGCTTAGGTTGCAGGCCAAGTTTCTGGTTGGGGGCATGCAAGAGGCAACTGATCGATGCATGCTCCTTTCTCACGTTGATGTCTCTCTCTCTCTCTCTTTTTCTCACTCCCCTTCCTTCTCTCTAAAAATATAAAGTTTTTAAAAACAATGAAAAAGAAGAAGAAGATCCTACCAGGGAGAAAGAGAAGGAGGGAGGAAGGGGTTGATGGTACCAGGCAAGGGAGAAGACACAGGGAAGATCACCAAAGGCCAAGGAAGAGCAGCTTAAGTCCCAGGGCTCAGTCTCTGAAACCAAAAAAGGAAGTTATGTCTTCACTTAAGCTCCTAGGGAGTAAATAAGACCCAAGAAGGCTGGGACCACAAAATAATGAGTATTGATCTGAGTTCCAAAGTGGATGGGTTCTCCAGGAACCCTGGCCTGGCAGAAAAAAAAAAAAATAGGAAGCACACTTTGGAAGAGACTAAAAATTGCCATCACCTTTAGCAGAAGAGTTGACCCAAATCTACATCAGGCTAGACTGAGGCGCTCTGTCCAATGTCCAGCCCAGCCCAGGTGGAACAGGCTGATTCTAAATAAGATGCCCATTGCAGTGGCTAAGCAGAGAATCAGGGATACACCTTTGACAAGAGTAAACCCAGTCCTCCATTTACATTTCAACACAGATTTACAGCCAACAGTAAGACTAGAACTTGTAAAGATCCTGATAGTTGAGTGGTTGTTTTGTTTTTTGTCTTCTTTTTGTACATTTGTGAAATAAATTTTAAGAGAGAAGCATTTTGAAATCTTCATGACTTTTCATTATTTATGGGAAGCTTGTGCTTCTAACACCTTTGTAGCTAAAAGCCAACTCTTCAGACAAAAAAACAAACAAACAAACAAAATGACTACAGTAAAGACAAGGAATGTAATTTCTGCTTTTTTGGCCAAACCCAAGGGAAAGAATTCCCAGCAGAGGAAACAGGAATCAAGGACCACAAGAATGAAGGATGAACCAGTCAAGTTCTTGGGGCCCAGGACAGTGAAATGAGCCTGGGGTTGAACTAGCAAGGGTATGGTACAAACATCATTTAACTAAAGGGTTAGACAGCTGTTCTCAAATCGCTAGGGGCACGGAGTCCAGGTCTATAGGCCCCAATGTAAAGAACTCTCAGTTTAACCACTTCCCTTTTCCATCCTCCCCAACTCCACGATTGTTTTCATAGGATATATAGATCTCTTTGAGAGTCTTGTCTTGGAAGCAAAGAAGATAGGTAACTAATCCAGTGCTTCCTTACTTAGCAACCTGCAGCAGAAATCACAACTCCAGGGCCCCACTGTCTTTCCAGAGTTGTTACTGGAAAGGGAGGGTACAGTCATTTTCTCAAGAAAACCCTGCCTCCTCCCATCAGAAAATATTTCCAAAACCTACAGAGTTGATATAATTTTCCTGCTGAAATATTGCAAGGCTATTATGATAGTAAGTTGTGAACTTGCTTTCTTTCTTAGATCCCAAGAGATGACCCTAAGGCATTTAAACCTTGGTCTATCCCTGTAGCATAACATTGCTGTTGTTTCTTTAAAAGATAAGATCAAGAAGCTGAAAGATACTTACTCAGAAAGAAAAAACAGATCAACCAGTCCTTTGTGTTCTGTGGAAATGTAGGATGGGGGTAGGGGGGTATAAGGGGACTAAGTGGTAATGGAAAAAAAATACAATCAAAATTAATTTTAAAAAAAGAAAGAAAAGAAACAGAGCAGATAATCAGGGGGGAAAAGAAATTTAGGATGGCACAAGTATGTAAATCAAGTTTCATTTTTAAATTTTTTTTAAATTTATTTTTAGAGACACAGGAAGAGAGAGAGAAAGAGAGGGAGAGAAACATCATTATGCAAGAGATACATTGATAGGTTGCCTCTCACACACTCCCAACTGGGGACCCAACCCACAACCCAAGCATGTGCCCTGCCTGGGAATCGAACCGTCGGCCTTTCAGTTCGCAAGCCGGCACTCAGTCCCTAAGCCACACCAGCCACAGCTCATTTTTAAATTTTGTCCAGTATTTTAATCCTTTAAAACTAAACAAGCATGACTTTGGATACTGACAAAAGAAAGGGTGTTTTACTTAACATAGCTGTTTTCATTTTCATTTTTAAATAAAATTTAAAATGAGAATGCTGTGGATTAATATATTTTAAAGACCTTACTCCCTGATTTTTTTTTTTTGAGAACTACTTACAATATGTGTGCAAACCATTACATTAAAATCTACTTATTACTGCATTAATTAATTAGTGCTATTTGGAAGAGTTACCCGATTGTATTCATTAAGTTCAGCTGATACAGTTTTGTACTGCTGCTTAAGACAAAATGCAGAGCATGGAAAGCTTGGAGAGTTGACTCTGAAACTACTTGGAAAATATATGCTGGTATAGAAACATATTTTCAATATTAAAAATTTAAACTGCTTTTCTGCACTCTTAATGGACAACATTAGAAAAACCAAAAGCAGGCGAGAACTACATCATAGATTCAGAGAAACAGTGTTTTTTAATCAAACACTAATTTTTCAGCTAAATATCTAAAATAACCCACAAATATTAACATATATATGTTTAATTCCATAGTTCTTTGTCAGATGAGAACTTGCATTGATAGTTTTGCTAGATCAGACTAAATAATTGATGAGATTTTTGTTTCTCCTTTCACAGTAATAACAAAAATAAAAATAGGCAACATTTAAAATTATATTTTAAATCATCATAAAGTAGTAATTTAAAACATAAACCCAAGGATGGAAGGAAGAATATCTGAGTTCTTTAATTATTCTCTTTCTCTCTCTTTCTTTGTAAGTATTAAAGTTAAATGTCGATATGATGGTAAATCCACTCTAATTCCTACATAAACGAAGGTATGTAAAGTGCATAGCATTGTGTTCAACATTAGTACTCACTAAAGGATAGCTACACACACACTCAGGTATGACAAATACCAAATTTTAACAAATTAGAGATCGCTGATGAATGAACCAGGTTGCCAAGTTTTAGTCTAGATTTTAAAATAAAGACCATCCTTCAATTGCCAGACGAATTTAAAAAACAAAACAAAACAAAAAAACCTCTTGCCACTTTATCACTTGCAACTATCTCTCTGTGCAGAATCTTCTCCATACTGAGCAATTAAAAGAAAACACAGATATAAATTGCGTACTGTGTTTCTGTCATCTTTTACTTGCAATACGTATGTGTGAAAATCTCTGATCTAATCCAGCTTCTTATTTTATAAATGAAGACATGGAGACCAAGGGACAATAAAAACTACCTAAATGTATTTATTCATATCCATAAAACTGACCACTCCAATTTTTCAACTATTTATTGTTCTTCCACACACAAAGTTGAGGGATTTATGTACTTTTATAATTATTCTCTTTTCTTTTTTTCCAGGTGCTTCAGTTTTTTACAAGTGAAAAGATGGCTTGTTAATCCTAACTGGACTCCACACCTATATTCTTATACTGTTGGGGGAAAAAAAAACAATGATACAAAATTCAGAAACATTATTCAAGTCTGATTATAGTAACAAGATGAGTCATTATTTACAAATTATTGACTTAGACTTTCTAGTGTAGGGGCCACCAGACAAGCCATTGCAATAGTCACAGCAATCAAGTTTAATGCTAAGCTGTTTTTGACAATATCAAGTAAATATTGCTGTAAAAGCAAATTTTTCCTTTGTGTCCATCCAGTCTAACTGGACTGCTAACACAAGTTATAATCCTAGAATAAAAGCTACTTCTCAGTAAATAAATATATAATTACTTTTCCCAGGAATGTGTTTGATTCAGTGGCCACTGGTAGGGACATCGGAGTTTTACAAGGTTTGGTTTTATTTTGTTTTTACTGTGGATTAGCTATGGGTCTGTGTATTTGCATTTGACAGCAAAGGTGTGGTATTTTCCTCATGTGGATCAGCTATTCAATGTGTTGGTAGTCTTTTGGAACTTAGAGGGCAAGCAATGTTAAAATCATTTTCACTGTAGTACCACAAACCCTTTTATTTTTAAATTTGTTTATGAAAAACACCTAATCTGATATCCAAGTTTCCGAAATGCTTCATTGCTCAGTTTCCCATATATTAAAGTGGGTAACACAGAGCAAAAAAGAATTAAAAATTGTCATCACCCCTATGTTATAGTTGAAAACATGCAGGATCCACCGAGTTTCATTATGCAGTTTTCGAGGCCTTCAGAGAAGGAGAAACCAGCTTGACCAGAAAGTAAGGGGATAAACGGACACTCTGTCAGCCAGAATTCACATGATCAGGCTCACCGAGCCTTTGACTGCAGTGACTCCCTGAAGTGAATGAAGGGTAGGCTGAGCTGAGAGCACTTGGTGATCGGTGAGAGAAGGTAAACATTAGACAGCCGCACGGCCTGGGGGCTGAAGGTCACAGGCGGCACGGCGCCCATCTGATTGGAGGGACAGGGACGCAGTTGCCCACAGGCCCATTCACTGACTTTGAAGGCTCCGCTAGGCCACAGGAATCCAAGGAGAAAAGAGGACAGGAGCACAAAGAGAAAGGAGACAGGACCAGAGAGGCCATGGACAGGACAAAATTCACGCAAAGTTTTTGAACACGCAAGCAGAAGACTTGGGAAACTTAGTGGGAATGGCTGGGGTGAAATAAGTTGAAAGTAATAAAAATACGTTGTAAAAATAATTTAAGCCATGGCTGGGTAACTCAGTCGGTTGGAGTGTTGTCCCAACACACCAAGGTTGTGGGTTCCATCCCCGGTCAGGGCACATGCAAGAATCAATCAATGAACGCATATGTGGAACAACAAATCGATGTTTCTTTCTCTCTTCTTTCTTAAAAATCAATAAATAAAAAAATAATTTTTAAACGTTTTGGCTCTTGAAAAGAAAATCCTTAACTGTATAATCTAAATGATAAATTTGTTTTATCATTTGTATCATTTTAAATGATTGTGAATGGAATTTTTTTTAATTGGTCTGTTAGGGCTAAGGATGGCTACTGGGCATTTATTTCCCATTTGTCATCATTGAGAACTATAAAACATTAAAAATAGAGGGATCTGAATAAAAGTTATTCCTGTGGCTTGGTGCCCTAAAATCTGGACGGCATGGTATGAATAAAATACTTTTTTTAAAAGACATACTTGAAGCCACATGCTTTAAACCAGTTCTTTGGGCTCAATAAATATTGTTAAAGGATGAAAAATGAAATCTACTAAACTTTTTGAATAACTAATACGTTCACATGATTCAAAAATATGAAAATGTATACAGTGCAAGGACTCCCTCTCAGGCCGCCCGCATCCAGCCAATTCTCATACAGGCACAGAGTGGAGCCAATTCTGCTGGCTGCTTTTTACTTTTTTTTTCCCCCTCTTCAGGAATAGCTGGTCCCAGCATGCCCAGCCACTCTTGTCAAGATTAAAGCTACTCTCTGGTTCCACACACGGATGGGACATAAAGGTCAAATGTTGGGATGTTAGGGGAAGTCTAAGGCAACCGGCCAAGCATCTGGTTCCTGCCCCTATTGCACCAGCTGGACCACTGAGCAAGTTGCTCTTCTCCTTTCTCTGTCTAGACAATCACACCCCTTTCCCCATATCAGCAGGACTCTGGTGCCCAAAATAGTGAACTGTGACTCTTAAAGCTCTCTTAGCTCTGCGGATCCTCCTATTTCTCCCTGCAGAGTCTTGGATGCACAGGAGGTGTTCACTCTTGTCTTCTGAGCCTGGGTTCTCTGAGCAAGTTTTCCCACCTCTTCAGGAAAAACCACCTGCTCCCAGCTCCACCTCTGGAACAGTGAAAATTAACACTTGACCAGTCGCATATAATTGGGTAGATAGATAGTAAAAAAGATATGCTTTCTTATCCAAGATGCCAAAAAGAAGTAAAAAAAGTTACGCTGACATAGTTGAAGATAGAAAATAAAGGCATTTTCTCAGCCTCCCTGCACAACGTTCAATGAGTTGATATTAAGATATCACTGAATGCAAAACAAGTGATCTTTCCTTGGCACGGCCACCGCAGCAGAACTCCCCCATTCTCTCTTAACTTCACATTAGATGATGTCACCAGCTGACTCACTGGTCTCGCTCCAAACCATTCTGCACAGAGCTGCCAGGATAATCTTTCTCAACATTTGTAACCCCCACCCTCACTGGGTAAAACAGTAGCATTGAACTGAAAGCTTCTTCTTCCAAAAAGGGCTATACTGCCATTTGCGTAACAGTCACCTGTTGTTTTTATCTGCATGGGATCTTTTCCTTTGGGAAGTCCCCTGTCCTTTACTCCCTGTGTTCCAGGAGGGCTGCTGGGAAAGGCGTGGGATAAGCTCAGTCAGAGTCTCTCTCCTGAGAGTGAGACTGTTGAGTAAGGTACACAAGGTCAAAAGCCACTGGGGCAGATGGCCTAGATGGCCAGGCCATGGAGAGAGAGTCCACCAGCTCTGTTACCGAGATCTCAGAGGTGACCTCTCCCGATCCATGTCAAGGCTTGCTTCTTTAGATCTGTCCTCAATTCTGTAA